AATAGAGGCAGAAAGAGGCTAAGCTAGTCAGGTTTTCCTCGATTTACAACTAAAAGTGTTAATATTTCAGTTAAAAATTTGATCGTTTTGAACTGAAAGTAGTTTGATAGAAAATTTAAATGCTAACCAAAAGTTGTCTTGACACTTTTTCATAAAATCTTCCATTTTCAGTAATTTTGATTTTAAAAATTAAAATGCCCGACTTTTTGAAATTTTGAATTGGACTAAGATAATTATTTCCCCTAAAATTGGTATGCATGTGTTTTGAACACCCTGTTTATGTGTGTTTCCGTTAGCACAATAAATCACGCAAAAATGATCCGATTTCGATGAAATTTGGTACAAACGTGTAAACCTACGTTTCTTCGACTAAGTTCACGAGCCAGCATGATCGGACCATGGGAACGGGGTGGTTGGGAGGATTTATGGGGTAAAAATGTGTTTTTCTCATATTTTACCATCACAAAATAGAAATCCCTATTTATCTCTAAAAAATTGTGAAGAGCTTAAGCAAACAAATAATTTAGTATACTGATGTGTTTTTGTACAGGTATTGATTTCGGAGATAAACCAAAGAATTTAAAGTTGCCGTGTTATTCTTACGGAGAATACATAAACTGTTTTAGTTTGCTTGTTTGGAAATATATTTTGATGAAACTAGGCAAATTTATTTATTTTAAACTGAGCTATTATTATATTAATAAAAACTCACTTTATTACTCTCCATGTATCTGCAAACCTAGGTTCTCATTAAAGCCAATGTTATTGAAATGGATTAAATTGAATATCAAACCAGGCAAATACAAACTCACTTGGTCTGCGGGTTTGCTGTAGCAGGGGTATTTGCCAATTCCATGAAATTTAGAGACGACATCACAGCCTGTGATTGCAAGGAAAATAAATAGGTTGATGGAGATCTCTGGAGGGAGTTGAGAACACAAAAAACTGAAACATTTTTATTATTTTAATTATTAACGGCCACCATTTTGAAACTGCTTGATCAAACTCAACCATTGAAAACCTTGGCTGTGATAGTGTATTCAAGCACTTGTATGCCAAATTTCATTAAAATCGGTTCAGGCAATTAGGTGTTATAACCAATTCATGGCGACCCAGCATCCTTTTACAGCCGCCATCTAGATGACGTCATTACCGCCGACCGAGGTTCTTAAAAATTGGGGTCTGGACAATTTTACGTTTAGGGACTTCTATACTATAACCACCTCACGTTGCATGTTCCCCGCCAGAACTGAAATATTCTGCCAATACAACCACAATATATAAATTTTGGTCCCACGGGTGCGTTACGTGAGAGTGTACTTTGACACTCAACGTTTACGCCAATATTGCTCAAAAATAGTTATATTATATATGGAAATGAAGCGGAATTTAAAGCCCTACATGTTTGTTGAAAGGTAAAATCTGCATTTCCTCAATAATAATGGCGAAAACCCCGAAAAAGTGAGAATATGTCTAATTTTTTTTACATATTTTAAATTTTAATTTGTTTTTTTACTAACAAAATCATATTACTATTATATAATATGGTATTTTCTTGTAGGTATTATTATGGCGAAGAATTTAAGACTAACTAAACTTTTCTAGATGGAATGGTTTGGGAACAATAAGTTTTTAAGTGGAACCTTGCAGTGTTCTATAGATTGTCCGCCATTTTCCAAGATGGCGGTTTTTGCTACAGTGGTAAAAGTTGGGAATTTTCACAAAATGTTAAGGGATGCATGCCTAACACATTCCAGTTGGTTTTGCTTTGTTATTAATTTTGCCCAGGTCAGGCCTAGTTTTATGCTAATGGTCTTAGACTACTACTTCATGTGAATAATGTTTTTACACAAACATAGTTTTTTTTAACGAATAACTTGATTCTTTTTTACTTCTGGGTGTATTTTGAGTTTGCAGTTATGAAAGCACCAAGCCAAGTACCTTTTATCTAATTTTCTTTATAAACTAACAGTATTAATGAATTACTAAATGAACTTTACAAGTTAGGTAATTAACTGTCAGTATGCCAAGGGGAAGAATGGGTCCTCGAAAACAGTCGAAGGCAGAGGCACCCATCTAAAAAATCCAACTGAGTTTTTAAATATAGAGGTCAGTGGATTGCCAAGACACAGATTATACTAATAAAAGGAGGCAGTGGTTTTATTGATATGAATACATCAAAAAGGGCCTCATTAATAGCACAAGGCTTCATGTGATCAGAACGGTTAACAACAATGTAAAGTAGAATGTAAAGTCCTAACATGGAACAAGTGAGTAAGGACATATTTTGATTTTGAGGATAAAAAATTGGCCCGTCTGAAACACAGTTACTTTTTAAAATGGAAAGATGCTAATTTCTGTTATCTTTGGCATTTGCAGCACAAGCACTTTAATTAAAGAGCAGCAATGTTCTTAGCCAGACCAATTTCAGTCATGAGCAACTATATACTGTATTTACTGTATATGTTGTTTTAAGTAAGGCTACATCTTTTAATATTAATAGTAGGATAAGCATATTCATTACGGACAATTCTGACCAGGGTAATATTCCTGAAGGTGATTTTAAGACTAAAATCGTAGTATTTATGGAAGTGCTTTTGTGAAAAAATATTGTTAAAAGTGTTTTCTTCAAGCAGCAATTTATGACCCTCAAAATATGCTACATAGGTATATGCACATTCACTGCCTATTGGTTTGATATGATAAAATGTTTTGTTAAATGTGTTTTTAAATCTCTAAAAAAAAAATAACTACCCTGTAACACACTTGAACTTGAACACTTATTAATTTACTAAATATAATAGGCATATAGCTAGAAAATGGCTGGGTTGCTTCCCTTCTAATGCTTTATTATTACTGTATTTAATTTTCGACGAGTCAATATATAACACGATGAATTTGTTTTTTAAATTCATAATATGTTTTTGCGGGGCATTGAGCCGCACAGGTTCACTAGTAAATTTCTAAATCATGCACATATTATTTCTACATAAATATTGTAAAACGTTTTGTCCAGTTGCTGTAAACCACTTTTAATTTAACAAAATATGGACACGGCTCAAATGGGCACCGTGTTCTTCTGCACTTGTATTATTTTGTATTGTATTACACAATCGAAGATTTTTCCAATGATTGAAAGCATGTAGGCCTATGACAATAATCTCATGAACCTATGATCATCTGTCTTGAATGATATAGGCAAAAGTGGTAAAAAATGCAGACACAACCCGTTCAATAGATATAAGATAATTCAATAAGAAATAATTTCAAAAGTTACTGTTATAATAAGATTTTCTACCGATTTCGTAATGGAAATATTGCAAAACATGACATGATACAGAAGAAAATCAGAAAATAACATTGCAAATACTTCTTTTGGACTATTTAGTTAACTCAATTAGATGTGTGTTGTTTAAAATACAATTTTAAAATTAACAGCTGTTTCATTAAAAAGTATTATCCACATGGCCAAAATGTAAACAAATCTGTGGAGGGATCTTTAAAGGCTTCTAGGGCAGAGCCCTAAGCGAATTTACTTCGTTTTTCTTTTGATAACTCATCCACAGACCAAGACCTTTCTTTGGACACCTCTACCAAGTTTCTACGCCCAGCCGTTCTCTCAAATTAGAGGAGACAATGTTTCCAATTCAATATTTAGATTCCCCCATGTTAATCTTATGGAAGAAACCCCAACTTTGATGGAAGATCCTGACCAAACTAATAAAGATATCGTAAAACAAAAAACACTTTGCAAAACTACAGATCAGGGAAATTTTTTTGACACTTTAATCATCCAAATTGGTCCAAAATTAATTAATCCAAAAGTAATTTGATTTTAATAAGTAATTTCCAAAATAAGTAATCTGGCTCACCTTCTCGGACATGGCCCCGCAATAAAGTTCGTAACTCCCAAAGTTGTAAACATAGGCCTAGGTAATTCAAAAATTGAAAATTTCTTTGAAAACTGACAACATGGAATATATCCCAATTGGCCCAGAAAATAGCAACTGTGATTCCATTTGCCCCGGTGTGGTGGGGCAATTGGGATCACGCGCAAGGGTTTTGAAAAACATTTTTTTTCATACTTTTACTTTACCTAAAAATTGAAAATTAATTAAGCGATCATTTAAGATACAAATTTATTTGTGCACAAAGTTTCATAGCTCTATTCTGACTAAAAAAACCCGTCTCACTTCAAAGATGAATTATACGATTCTGATCCCAAACCCCACTAGACCCTAGCATTTTTTGGAAAATTACAAAAAGATATTCTAGCATCGAAAGGGTTAAGCCCACAAAGCATAAAAACAGTTGTTTTTGCTGCAGTATGACGTAAAATATCTAACCTATGACAAGATTTTTCACAAACCCCAGTGATTAGAAAATAATGGTAATGGTATATTTACTCAAGGGAGGTACAGAAGTGAGCCTTCGATGACGTCAGCTGTCAGATCATCTCTTGAGGGAACACCATTACGGTACCGCAATGATACGGAATTCGATCATCGGCCTCGGTGGTGCAGTGGATAGCGTGTCGGGCTGATAATCCGAAGGTGTCGGGTTCGAATCCCACTGGCAGCTCTAACTTTTTGTCAACAATTTTTTTTAATATCAGCAAGTTTGGTTTTCATATCAGACAGTTTAATTTTATAATTAAAAAATTATAAAGTTGAATTTTAGGCATTTATAATTTTATTTCATGAACAAAACTATTTCTAGATTAGTAAACCTTCATTCTATTTTTTCATTATCAACACGTTTGGTTAGTTTGGTTAGATTATGACAGTTTAATTTAATAATTGAAAAATTTTAAGATTAATTTTATAATTTTTCTGAATGTTATAGGTAACTAACTAGGCCTAATAGTGAAGTAAAAATTACGCGCTGTGCTCTCTACTACAACGCTGCGGAGGAATTTTGAACTAAACTATGATGTCATCATTGCCTCATTTGTACCTCCCTTAAGTCAGACCCGAAAATAATGTTGGGTTGTATTTTACCTGAACACCACATTCATTTTCAGCTGCTAGTAGAAGTGGTTTTTTGGTTGGGAAGTTTGCATGGTACTGTTTCCTAAAATTTTCTGCGTACAGCAACAAAACTTTCTCCTTGCTGCTGTTAAGTGTGTAATTCTCAGGAAAGTTTTTCAAACTAAAAGCAAGATAAATAAAACTTATTTGACTTAATATAGGCCTAATATAAATATATATAATTAGTATACAGTATATGAATTTGAACAGAGGGTGTTTATGAGCTCTGGGGGCCGCAAAACGAAAAAGTAAATCTGTTCCTGGTCTTTGTCGCACCATGAGACCTACGGTAATTTAGCTTATTCCCTATAAGTTATGGGAAATTTGCTAAAATTACATTAAGCTTAACCTGTTAATATCAAGCCTTACTTTTTATAACATAACAAAGATACCAAAAGCTCTTACAAAACAATCATAATGTCTCTCGGAGTGGATAAACTTATTCACCCTTTTATACAGTTTTTTGTAGTTTATCTTTTAATATAAAATATTCCCTTTTTATTTTGTCTATCTAGTAGGCCTACTTCACACTTTAACATACACTTATCAGAACTAGCCTAGTAAATTACAGAAGAGCACAATACACCACCAAAAGTAGGCCTAAACAATACCAAATGAATACTACTTACTTATATACTTTTGTAAGATTTTTACATCCTAGGCTAAAAAAGGGTAGGCCTACTGTATTATAATTTGACCAATGTGAGATTGAGTAACATAGGGCCTAGCTCAACTCATAAATCTTATAGCTTCTCAAATCTTATTTGTATGACACTTGCATACTGCATAGGCTGCACTTTAGTTTACACCCATGCTCACATGCAGCATGTTTGGTTAGGTTAGTTTAGAACAGTTTCATTTTATAACCAAGCAGCTGGTAGTTAATGTATAATGTACTTTAATAGTAGGCCTAAATGTGGGGCATAAACTAAAGTGTACCCCTTGTCCCCTTGCATATATCCAGTAATCTAGTGCTCGATTTGCGGTGGAATGGAGTCCCCGTACCTCTCTTTTGGAAAGATAAAAATATTGGCATAAATAGGTACCGGTAACTTAGGTACTAACTCCATTAAATAGGTTACAGTTCCGGCACTAATTTTTGACAAATCGAGCACTGCATATAGCCTAGGTAGACTTATAGGCCTAAGTGGGGCCAAAAACAACCGAATGGAAATAATTATAGTATTGATTATTTCATTCGGTTAGTTAGGTTAGGTTAACCTAAGTTAACTAACCAAACTTGATATAACTTAGGTATCAAATGAAATAGTCGATAAATCAATGATATTTTCATTTGGTTGTTTTTGGGCCCACTTATGAAAGTCTACCCCTGCATACCTAGGCTATATCAAATGTTATGTTGAGTGATAGGAAAATACCTTATATCAGGAGAGACTGGCCAATACAATCTGATAACTCCTAATAGCTTTTTCTTTTCTTCAATCAATTCAGGTGCTAAAGGGATATAAGATTCACCTAGTGGACAAACAACTTCTGAACCATGTTTGCTTTCACTATACTCCTCACTCTCAAATCCTAAAATAGTATTTAAGTCCACTTCTGATTTCTGTTGTAGGCCTATGTTTAAATTTTCTTCAAAACTAAAAGGCGGAACACTTTCTGTTTTTATGGATTCAACTCCATCTAGAAGTGTGTTTTCATCACATGTTTCTAATATTAACTCTTGTGGATCAATATTATCCTCATCAATACTAGAAGCCAAAGGCTCCATTGTAAAATGCAGTATTACTAACTTAAAAGAAGAGACAATACTTAATTATTTTGAAAGGTTTCCAAAAGAATCTAATAAGCTAATCAGTAATCACACACGTACGCAGATACGGCCGATAACATCATATTATTGCACATCACCATGGCAACAACAAAACAAAACCAGCGGGAACCGGGAAGGGGAAACAAGTGAACTTTGATGCCCCAATGATGATTCAAAGCAAGTTGTAAAAGGAAAAAGGAATAGAAAATAAAGCGCCAGATGGCGTAAAGGAAGTGAATACCGTGGCTTCCGTTTGACATCATACATCACATCAATATACTGTATTATATGAAATGAAATGAAAATCCTTCTTTATTGAGGCGAACTTAGGACCTCATGGTCCTTTCTTACAGTTAACCTCTAAATAATAATAGTAATAACAATAATACATGATATGAACAAAAGTAAAATACACATTTCGTAACATAATTAATAATAAACAACATAACATACATTTCTTTTCCTAGCATACAGTCACACACACATACACTCTTTGCAGCAGCTAAGCCTAACGCACGCCATCCCGCCACGCCACTACCATCCGGTTGAGATAATATTCTTTCAGTGTCGCCTTCAGTCGGGCGGGATCGGTTTTCTATGGATTTCAAAGTCGGCCAGATGACCCACTCCCGGAGGGCGGTAACATGCCCCCAGGAGAAGAGCATCGGAACCACACAAACCAATTTCTAAAAAAATAAATTCGGGTTTCGCCAAGTACTCTATTATAGTACTATTATAGTAGTATGTTTGCGTCTTTGATTATTCTATAACCAACGCTGTTGGAGAAAAGGTTTAAATTGGTTTGATTGGTTATTGCCCATTCTTTAAATTTTCCAAGCTGGTTCTGGTAGATCTAATTGATTTCTTGATAAGATGGTTGACCATGGGCTACTTTTATGTAAAATGAATTAAGTTTAGGGTTCACTGGTTCTCCTCATACTTGGAGGGGAGAAGGCAGTCAGTCACGATCCCTGCAGTAGATGCAAAGGGGTGCTTGAAAAAATATTTATTCCTCAGAAGCTTTAGTTAGCAGGGGGTGCCCCGCGGGGGTTCCATCCTGGGACCAATCCTCTTTCACATTTTCATAAACAGCCTTCCATCTAGTGTGAAGAATTCAAATTTATGCTTATTTGCCGACGACACCTCCTCACTATATCCAATCAGTATGGAGGTGTTAGAACAAATCGCTTTTGTCGAATAAAACTGTATCTTCTTCAATGGTGCCATTGCGAAGAGAATCATTTATCCCTAAATCCTGAGAAAACCCGCAACTTCTACGATTCCAAATTTCTAAAAGACGATCCCAGAAAAATCACAGTCTTCTAAATGTCCTGTTAGACGTAACCATTATCTGTCCCTCCCAAAATGTGAAGTTCCTTGGAGTACTCCTTGATGAAAATCTCACATTTCATCAACATATTGAGCATGTAGTAAAAAGGGTTTTGGTAGGTATTTTCATGCTCAGAATAATGCTCCGACAACAGCCAACACTGTACTCCTGTATGCATACTGGGCTCATATATCCCTATCTGACATACCTATTCCTGTATGGGTCTATGAAACCCAGAGAACGCTGTTTTTGTTCGGACTCCAGAGAAAGATGATCCATATTGTGTTATCCCCTTCCAAAACGTCACTCCTGCAACCTGAAAAGAAATATTTCTTTCCGGAACACTTCAAACCTTGCCATTCCCCGCCATTCAACTGCATTTTTCCAGAGGCACTTTCACTACAATGTTGTGAAACTCTTCAATAACCTTCCTTTCCCACTAATACAGGCTGAACAGGATGTGGGTAAATTTAGAAGGGAGTTAAAGTCCATCGTCCATTCTGATAGATAAGGCAGTACGGTCCGTGAAAACTGGTAGACTGTTACTTGTAAACACTAGTTGAATTAACTTGTAGTTGCTTGTAAATGCTTTAGTCGTTTTCACTGTAAGATAAACAATATGTTTTATCAATTAGCCTAAGTATTAATTTGACTTGGATAATGCATGTATATGTGTTGATCTGGCCTAATAAATGACTTATATTGATAGAAGCATTCATTTTTTAAGGGAATGGGTAGGTTCTGGTATTATAATTAGAAAACATAATCTTCACCGGGACTATCCAAGTGCTCGCATTAAAATATGCGGGTTACTATAATTCGATCCGATGAAAGAGTCGATCCAGAGAAAGCAGTTAGTTGTATGTATTTCTCATTCATTGATCATTGGTAAAACATTGTGGTTCTCAATTCTCAAGTCAATAGTATCACTTGGCTAGAGACATAGATAAAACTGATAAAACATAGTCTCTACTACTAAGGGAGCGGGAGCGAGCTGGCGTAGTGGTTAGAGCGCGGGACTTCAGTCCGTGAGGTCCCGGGTTCGATCCCCACCAAGTCACCAATGGATTTTATCTAAGTGATAATGCCGCAACCCCTAGGTCTAGCCTGAAGTGATGTGAAAAACAATCCCAGGCTCGTGCCTAGCGTCCTAGGACAAAAAAAAACTACTAAGGGAGTATGTTATCTATGCTAGAGCCTAAATAAGTGATACGGATTGACTTTCGATACGGTACTGCGCCAGTCCCGGAAGACTCTTAGTAAAATCTTATGCTTGTCTGTTTTTGTGTGTAATTTCTGACAAGTATACCGTTAATTATTGCAAATTATGGCAAGGTCTTATAAAAATGAGGGTGAATTATATACATGATATACTACTTGATTAGAGTACAGAGCACGAACAAATATTTAGTAGTAGTTTTAGTTTTTGTTGGTTAGTCTAAGGTTTCAGTTTGTCATTTTCTCAATTGTCAAGAAATACATAATACTGTAACTATAAACGCATGGTCTATAACATATGAAACAATAGTTTAAACTATGGTTCCAAAAATTGTATATTGATATTTATTTGCCTGTAGATACTCAATTTATTACGTAAATTTAATCTTTTGATGATGAAAATTAAAATGCACGATTCTATGATTATTAACCATTGAAACATTTTTGCTATCTTGAGTTTGTACTATCACATATTATATAGTATGCAGTGCAATTCCTATAATTTACATCAAATCACCAAAAACCTGAAGTTGGTTCAGCTGATTTTAACTGACGTGTCTACAAAAGTGACGTTGACTTTTATTTCTTCTTCTTTGGCGTCTGCTGCGGTGGTGGTGATGTCAGTTGTCAGTATGTCAATCTTTAACCTATTTTTTTAATTTAATAAAATACAGGTTTCTTTTAAAATACTATCGATTGGTGGGTTTGTTTATTTGTTAATACTTATATCGTAAGTGTCTGTTGTTACTAACAATATAAACAATTGCTTAGTGTTAAGTGCTAATTTCTAGGGTATTCTTACATTCTTACAGCAGGGACTAGGCTTTCATGTTCAACACTACTTAAAACTGTTTGCTCTTGGCTCAGACAAATAAATTGAGGTTGTATAGAAAATTTAAAACAATGGCTAAAACACAAATAGCTCAAAAACTCTCTACTCAACATAACTAACCACCAACCAAGCAATTCTTCCAATCTTGTTGACCTATTAACTGTTTTTATAATGAATCCTAAATCTGGAATTTTCTCTGACTGCCTTTTCAGTTTTGAATGGGTACTTTCCTGTTAAAGGGAACATTAATTTTTATTGATTATTTCTTTTCGATATATTGATTTATTTCTTTTCGATACGGTATATTGATATTTTATTTTTAGATCCGATATATCGATATTATCGAATTAACTTAGAACATATCAGCTGGCTGACAACTATGATAAATAACTTAAATATTGTTCAGTATCAACAAAAAATTTAAAAACATTAAGTTGTTTAGAAAATAAACTGTTCTAACTAAGTTAATAACCTAACCTAACTAACTTAATTAAACTTGCTGTAACATTTTAAAATTCCGTTTGATACTCCCCACATGCCTTTCTGTTATCAACGGAATTTTGAAATTGTACAACAAGTTTGGTTAGTTATGTTAGGTTCTTAGTTTAGAACAATTTCATTCCTCAATCCATTTTTGCCTAAACAAGATTATAGTTCTCAATTATTTTGTAATTTAAATGCGTTAGAAGATATTAAAACAGAAGGAATAAGATAAATCATCGATAATAATGAATGTATCCCTTTAACAGGAAAGTACCGTCAAGTACCTTTAAATGTTTGTAAAAATTAAATAACATCTCATTTTATAGGTGACTAAAATATATGTAAGTTAAATTATGACTACATATGAAGAATTCATACAGCAAAATGAAGAAAGGGATGGTGTCAGGTTCACATGGAATGTGTGGCCTTCTAGTCGACTTGAAGCGACAAGATTGGTTGTACCTATTGGCTGTTTGTATCAACCTATAAAAGAAAGACCAGGTAAAAAGAGACCTATAGACCTAATTAGGCTTATATTTTTTACATACTAAATAAGTTTTTGGCAATTATTAAGTAATTCTACATTGGGATATGATGTAATTTTTAGATGTCTTCTTACAGCTTTTCACGCTGAATCCAAAAATGCAATCAGTTTTTGTTGGAGAAATTCCTAAGTGACTGTAAAACTAGGGTTAAAATTACGAATTTAAGGTTCATTTAGCGGTACTGATGGTAATATGGTGTGGTCTGGACGAGTCCGTATGTGGGCTGAGGACTGAGTGAAATGAAAATTGAATGAAAAATTGAAAAATCATTTATTTTTTTCAGGCAAAGTTATAGCCACATGGCCATTTCTTAAACTTAACCTGACATTCATAAATATATAGAAATAATAATACAATAGGATTACTTAATATAATTAAACATAAACATATTTAACAATTAAAGTACGTTTCTCAGAGAGAAAAATAAAAAAGCATGCAAATAAAAAAAAAACACATTTGCACATTCTTGCATCCCCTCATCAGCAAACGCGCAAAGAAACAGTAGCCCTAGGACAAGCCAGCCGAGCCCATCTTCTCAAAGTAGAGCTTCTTCAGTGCCGCCACAAACTGGGAACGTTTTTCAAGTGTCTTAATGTGCAGGGGTATGCCTTCCACAGACGACAAGCGGTAACAACAAAAGCCGTGGTCACATGATGAGGTATACGCAGTGTAATCGAAGAAGAACAAGACATTCATGACTACAATACCCTGAGACACAAATTTCAAATCGAATTTGAAATATTTTGGGGAGCCTGTTTTCAAAATTGAAAAAACCAATACAAAATTTTGATGAATCTTTGATAATTTAGTTTCAGAATGAGTGCCTCAAGGTAGTATGGCGTGATATGCTCCCTACGTCGCAGACATGTGGGGAAGGCTCTTGACTGAGGAGAGCAAACAGCTGTTTATACTCGACTTAATGGGGAATAAAATCAATTCGTTTTGAAACTAAATAATCTGCTCTTATGTAGGCATGTGGGGCAGGTAGGTCGGGTTTTATACGGATTCGTGACTGTATTAAGTGTTTAAAAGTTTATGTTATAATGAACTCAGTTATTTTATGTTAGGCCTATCTCCACAGACTGTTTTTGTACAATTTAAATACCGCTAGTTGTTTAAAACCGCATAGCCAATAAATGCAAGCACTAGCTATATTGAGATAGTAAGAAAACTTAGTGTATTTTAATCTAAATATAAATGCAAGAAGTGTACGAGTCAAATGCCTTAGGTTATTTTGTTACTGACCAGTATCAGGCTTCTTTAACCAAGACAATTTATGAAAAGCCTAGAGTGCTCAGTCCAGTTTTTAAGCAGTTTTTGAACCATGAAAATCCTACTGACCTTTCTCATGATAAAATGGCAACCCCTGGATTGTTAGGCATGCACTTTTTTACTTTTTCTTTGAAATGGCAACCATACAAAGGTAGGTATTTTAATCTAAGTATGAATGGATATGAGTGTAGAATGAGTGGTTCGATCTTGTAGTCTTTTAAGTGACTAAGGCCGACATATTCCTTAGACACACCTGTTAATTAATAGCCCATACAGCTAATGGCAACTAAAGGACCTACCATCCATAGTGGAATCTGAACCACATTTCACTCAGTCCCCTAACCTACCGGTACTTCAATTGATGATCTTTCTGGATGAACCATAAAGTCTGTACTTTCCTATTAATAATTTAATGTAGTGTAATGTCTTTGTAGTCTTAGATTAATATGAGAGTATGACATATTAGCCCCTTCCTTACAAGAAAATCCTATTGTGTTTGGATAGTGGCAAAATTAAGGAGTAATATCGGATATATTCAACCCGCTTAATATGGTAGCTAGTAGAAAAGTATCAGCTAATAGATAATACGAGGGTCGTCTCAAAAGTAAGTTACACCTATTTCCAAAATAAATAAAACACCCCCGCCGCAGCAAACCTGCCGACTAAGCGAATTTCCATTTGTCTGAATTGATTTTCAGTTAAATATATTTAAATAACATGAGGTTTAACGAGTACCTAGGTTTGCTGCTACAAGGAAACTAATAAAGTGTGTTTTTGAGTAAAATATTGATAGCTCAGTACAAAATAAATAAATTTGCCAAGTTTGATCAAAATATATCCATAAACAAGCAAACTACAACATTTGACAATATTCTCCATAAGAATAACATGGGAATTTTAAATTTACAATTTTTTAAATTTTCTCCGTTACTAATAGGCCTAATCGAACAAAAATACTTTTATATACTAAATTATTTGTTTTTTTAAGCTCTTTAAAAAGGTTTAAAGAGAAATCGGGAAATTTTGTGTCTTGAGGGTCAAAAGTGAGAAAAACCAATTTTTACCCCATAAAACCCCCCGTAAAGCCCCGTTCCCATGGTCCGATCGTGCTGGTTCGCGAACTCATTCAAGTTTATCCCGCTTTACACCTTTAAACCAAATTTCATCAAAATCGGACTAAAATTATTCAAGTTATCACGTTCACGGACGTATATATATATAAGTCTATATATATATATATATATACATATATAAAAATTTGAACGAATGGTGTTTTTGGCCTCTGGGGACATCAAAATGAAAAAGTAAATCGGTCCCGGGTCTAGGTCTTACCGTGCCACCTACGGTAATAGCTACTTCCCTATAGGGAAATTCGCTAAAAGCCAAATTTGATTTGAAAAGGGTATATTTCAAAAGATACATACATAGACTATTTTTCTACGTAGTCGCCATCTTTTTCAAGGCATTTTTGATAACGTGGCAACAGTTTTTTTAGTCCAGCATCACCACTCTGCTGCCATTTTGGTTAGCCATTGTTCCACCTCCCGTTTCAGTTTGTCTTCGTTTTCTAAGCGCTTCCCGCCTAAATGCCGCTTCAACTCCGGGAAGAGACACTCGGCGCCAAGTCAGGAGAGTAAGGTGGATGGCCGAAAACATCCCATTGGAAGGATTCCAGAAGGTCTTGTGTTTGACGGACGGTGTGTGGGCGAGCATTGTCGTGAAACAAAAACACTGTTTTGGTCAACTTTCCCCTCCTTTTGTTCTGTATCGCCCTTCTCAGCTTACGTAGCACTTCACAATAACGTTCAGCTGTAATTGTTTCCCCCCTTGGCAGGTAATCAATCAACAATACTCCCTTAGAGTCCCAAAAGATCGTTGCCATGACCTTGCCAGCTGATTCGACGACTTTTGCCTTTTTTGGAGTAGGCTCGTCCTTTCCCTTCCACACCATGTTCTGCCGCTTGCTTTCGGGCGTCCAAATGTGCACCCAAGTCTCGTCCCCGGTTACTATCCTGTTGAATAGGCCATCTCCCTCATCATCAAAAAATTGTTGGAACTGGAGAGCAGCATCAACCCTCTGCTCCTTATGCCTTTCTGAAAGAAGGCGTGGCACCCATCTTGCACAGACTTTTGACAAACTGAGATCGTCCGAAATGATTCTGTGAAGCGACGCATGACTAATTTCAACATTTGGAGGAAGCTGTGTAATGATTTCATCCAATGTCAAGCGCCGGTCGGTGTCAATGACCTTGCGGACATCTTCAACAACAGTCAAAGCGCGGGAAGTGGACGGGCGGCCACTTCGTTGTTCATCGTGTAACGATTTTCGTCCATTAATAAACGATTGACTCCAGCGGGAAACCATTAGCCTACACATCACATTTTCACCACAAACACTGCACAATTCTCGATGAATTTCACTTGCATTTTTATTTTTTGCAGTCAAAAATCTAATTAGGCCTACTGCACGGATTTCACAATCGGCCGTGGGAACAAGTGGTATCTCCATGATGGCCGGAGCGATACTGGAGGGGCGAGTTCCGTAGGCGGCTGCGACGTTTACAGTGTTGCCACTACATCCAGACAAAAATTCCCCGCGACTCCCAGCTTTCTAGCGCTCGACGCTGTGATTTAAAACAAATGTGTAACTTACTTTTGAGACGACCCTCGTAAATAATAGATAATAGATAATATGTTATTGGTAAAAATCAACATTATCGGTTTGAACTAAATTAACATGATAGAAATTAATTTATGTGGCAATAGAGCATTTAATTGTAAATGTTTATTTTTAAGTTCAAAATAGACTGTTGTAATTTCCACTTTGTCAGTTTATCATTGGAAGCTGTTTTTAAAAATTACTACCATATGTTTTTGATAGATCTCCCACCAATCCAGTATGATCCGGTTTTGTGCACAAGAAACACATGCCGAGCAATCCTGAACCCGATGTGCCAAGTAGACTACAGAGCTAAACTATGGGTTTGCAACTTCTGTTTTCAAAGGAATCCAGTGAGTAAAACTGTCTAGGCTACTTCATTTACATTATACGAGGGCTATCCAGAAAGTAGATTACGTTTTTGTCTGTATCCGCAAAGGGCGGGGCTAGCGCGGCCATCTTGGTGTCAGTTCGCTATGCTGCTCAGTCGGCATCTAGTCGTGCTAGTGAGGGGTTTCTGCTGTCCATTGAGTTACTGTGACAGTTTAACATGTCTGTGTTGATTGAAAATGTTGCGAACTGTGAGATACGTGCAGTTACACGGTTTTGTACTTAAAAAAACTGTAAACCGATAGAAATCTATCGGCTAGTTTGTGAAGTTTATGGAAAAAACATTATCACTGAATATGGAGTGCGTCAGTGGTCATAAAATTTTAAAATGGCCGAACTAACGTTAACGACGAAGAGCCAAGTGAAAGACCCAGCATTGTGGCTGTTGAACTTGTCGAAAAAGTCTATGCCAAAGTCCGTAAAACTCAAAAATTTACAATAGGTAACGGAACTCTCTATGGGTTTTCCACAAATTTCGCTAAGTTTGTTGTACGAGATCATTACGGATAAGCTTACCTCAAGTTTTGTGCTAGATGGGTACAGAAAATCTTGACAGAGAGTAAAAAAAGTGCAGCACTAACGTTTCTGGACGCTTACGATCGTTACTGGTGACGAAACATGGGTCAAACATGTGAACTGTGAGACAAAATTGCAGTCGATGCAGAGGGGGCACATAAATTCCCCCCAACCAAAGAAATGCATGCACACAATGTCGGCAAGGAAGGTGATGGCGACTGTTTTTTGGGATAAGGAAGGTGTAATTTTTGTGGACTTCCTGAAAAGAGGCACTACAATAAACTCTCAAAGGTATTGCAAAACCTTACAAGAGTGATACAAAACAAGCGCAGGGGAAAGTTAAGCTCAAAGATCCTGTTGATTCACGACAACGCCCGGCCCCACATGGCAAATGTCACTTCTTGAATTTTTTAAAGTGGGAGTTGTTTTCTCATCCGCTGTACAGTCCCGACCTGGCACCGAGCGACTTTCACTTATTCCCAGCAAGGCTATGCAGCGTTTTGTTAACGACACACAGCTGCAATAAGAGGTAACCAAGTGGTTGAAAGTGCAGGCGGCCGAATTGTACAATGAAGAAATTTCTAAGCTCATTCAAACGCTACGACCAGTGCCTTAATTTGGTAGGTGACTATGTTGAAAAGTAGTATTTAAGTATGGCCTTCATTTGTATACAATAAACTATTTTTCCAAGACTTTGTTTATCCTTAATTCTAAAACGTAATATACTTTCAGGATAGCCTTTGTATCAACAAATGTTATATTGCTTGTAATTTAAATCTGAATTTTGTATGTATCAGGACTGGTAGGGCCTATCAGTATATGAGTTTACTTTGCAAATGAAGGTGAGTTCTATTGTAAAAGGAAATTCTGAGGAGTGGACTACTCTGTTGAAAACATGTCCTTATGGGGAAAATCAGGTGACTAGCTAAACTTTGTGTGATTTGAAATTGCCACATTGTGTTGTAAATATTTTGAATTACATTTTGTAGATCTATAAAAATCTATAAAAATGAAACAGCCTACTATAGTGTTTGCATATAGTAAAATTTAGTACAGTATTAACGATCAACATTTTCTCTCAAGTTAATAATTAATCTATTCAGCCCGTTTAAAAATATCCCGGCCACATTAAACCTGCCAGACTAAGCAAATTCCCATTTCTCTGTTTGGATTTTAACTAACAATTTTCCTTGTAGGCCCTACATATTAGATTCATTCCATTTGTAAATAACATTAGGTTTAACGAGTACTTAGGTTTCCTGCTACAGGGAAGGAAAAAGTGTCTATTGGTAAATATGTTAAATAATAGTTTAGTATGAAATAAAATAAAGTTTCCAAATTTGATAAAATATATCCATTAACATGCAAACTAGAACAGTGTACTTTTCCTCTATCTATAAGAATAACTTGGGAATTTTGAATGTACAGTTTCATTAATTTTCTCCATGAACTTTTTTTTGTATAACAACACTTCAATATATATAACTATGTGTTTTTTAAGCTCTACACGATGACTGTAATGAAAATTGTACATTTAAGGGTTACAATTTTGAAATAACCCAAAATATCAGCTATTAAACCTGAAGACCAGACATTTCATGTAATGCTCCTATGGGACGTGTTTATCCCTAATGACGATGATCTAATCTGAGCTATGTTTGTGTTCAGTTCCCACCTCAATATGCTGCCATCACAGAACAACATCAGCCAGCCGAGCTCATCCCATCTTTTTCCACCATCGAATACACCATTACAGTAAGTATCTAGGCGTATTTCTAAATTTTAAAACGCATCAGATCGAATCCTCTATTCCTCTGACATTTTGTTCAAGTGCAGTGATAAGTTAACCTTTAAAACAGAATGTCCAAGACAATACAAAAATCATGGTTACACAATATTGTACCGGTAAGCTAAAAGTCTTATCCCTCTCTGAAAGGTACGATTCTATTCCTACAAATTTGTACCGGACATATGTGCCTGCCATGTGCCTGGCACAAATCTCCGAATAGGTGAAGTACTCGAGGTTACAGTTGCTAAGTTGAATATACAAGGGTAGAGTAAAGTGAGAAGTTTTATGTAACTTTTTTACTCACCAAGACCAACTGATTGTAAAAGAACAATCATTAACCAAATTTCCAATGATTAATAACAGCTACTTTGAGTTGTAAAACATCAGTAAGCTTACAGATTTTTTTCAGATTCCAGCCAGCGACTTTTTTATTTTTTAACTGAAACCCTGGCAGCCTAGCAACTGAGGATGCATCTTCAAAGGAAGAGTGTAACATCTGGCAGTAACCTCTGACTGTTGATGACTAAAACAACTTAGATTTCTGAAGACTTGCAGACCAGCCAATGTGTTTCAACAGTGTCGGTCTAATGTGTGTTTGATGTTTGACAGAGAGCACAGTCGATGCCGCCCATCTTTCTGCTGGTGGTGGACACCTGTCTGGATGATGAGGAGCTTGGTGCTTTGAAGGATTCCTTACAAATGTCGCTGTCATTGCTGCCACCTGGTGCCCTTGTGGGACTCATCACGTTTGGCAAGATGGTCCAAGTCCATGAACTCGGTTGTGAGGGATGTAGCAAAAGTTACGTCTTCCGTGGCACCAAAGATCTTACAGCTCGTCAGGTTTGGCAAATTAAATAATACTTTAGACTAGGCTTAAAGTTGTTTTCACGGGAATCATTAAATACCTTTAGTTTAAATAGGTTTTAAAGAATAGACACAAGGAAATTTATGTGATGAATGTTCAAAATTAAATTCAATGTTTCTCTGAATAAATTTTAATTTCCTCATATGAAGTCTAGTCTATAATATGATCCACCGTGTTATTTTTTAGGACTTTCACTAAAAGTTGTAATTGTAATCTATAAATTATACCAAAATATATACTTTTATTATATACATAATGTACTCTGTGCAATTTTCTACACTATACCCTACAGTTAAGAGGTATTCACTTCTAAAGCCTTGCAGATAAATGCTTCATTGTGAGGAGCTAGTATAAAAATAACTTCACACACTTTACTCGGATTCTAAGAGTAAGACAATCCAGACCCAAACTATTAGTTGGTCTACTGTAAGGTCACGAATTGTGGATATTTATAGGCATGCACTGTGGATGCGATACTCCCTGGTGGGGATTAGAGTCCACACGAGTGAGTACTACGACTACCCGCAGTGCTATTCTTATAATTAGACCAATTCGTATATATCAAGGCAAAAAAATGTGGTTCGGATTCCACTATAAACTGTAGGTCCCTTAGTTGCCATTAGCTGTATGGGCTATTAATTAACAGCTGTGTCTAAGGAATGTCGGCCTTAGTCACTTACAAGACTACAAGATCGCGCCACTCATCCTACACTCATCTTCATTCATACTTGGCTTAAAATACCTACTATGAATGGTCGCCATTTCATAAAAAAGTATAAAGTATGTCCTATATCTTTCCTATACCTTATGTAGATTTTTTAAATGTATTTTCTTTTAATAAATCCATGCAACCATGCATTTTAGAGACTAGATTACATGTTTTGAATGAATGGAGGCTCCTAAAAATCTAAACTGTAGGTTTTTTGACAATAACCATTATGTTTTTTAATACATCACATTAATTCAATCAATAGTCTTAACATTAACAGTTTGCTCTTTACTATTAACTTTGTGTATTCCAACACTAGGGGAATTTTACAAGTAAAGAAATGGTCGAAACCGTGGACCTGTTACAACCTCATGTCAAAATTTTGTTAAAAATCGTAATTAATAGCTCAGTAACAAATGGTGAACAAGTCCAGAAAGTATTCTTTTCAAGATTAAACTAGTATTATTTTCAACTACACCTACTAACTTGTTAACATTAAGAGTAGTCCTTAGAAGGTGAAGATAGTACACCATCAATGGCTTCTGAATTTTCTCTACTTTTTGATTGTTGTTATGATACACCAAACAGTAAATGTTGTAATACTTGTTGATCAGGTGCAAGACATGCTGGGTATAGGGAAGGTAGCGGTTCCTCAACCCCAACAACAGCGGGGCCCTGGGGGTCAACCACAAGCCATCCCCCCTGCCAACAGGTTCCTGCAGCCAGTACATCGCTGTGACATGAGCCTCACAGATCTGCTAGGAGAACTACAGAGAGACCCGTGGCCAGTACCTCAGGGCAAACGTTCCTTGCGGTCCACCGGGGTCGCACTCTCCATTGCTGTTGGCCTGCTTGAGGTATCCCAGCTGCTATTTATAAGTTAATCATTTAAAAATAGGTACAGTTTGTTTTGTGAGTGAAAAACCAGCTTGGAGCATGTTTACACTTATGTTTACAAAGATTGAGTCACTTGGGTGGTGAGCACTTTAACCTACCACTGCCCCCGGAGTACCTATAGATATCGGTACGACATCGTTTGTGATCATACCGACTAATCGATTGTCCCAACTCTTTGTCAGTCCTGATTTATCTGGTGAAACACAATGTAACAGTCACATTGAGTAGATCTGTGAGTTATCGCTTATAGTGATGTCACAGATAATATATAACAAATTCAGTAAAATTGTTCAATCATATCCAACTCACTCAATGTTTTTAAAACAATTTTATATTTGGCTTTTAAAAAATCCCTTTTATTCCCTCTCAAGAGTTTTTAGAGAAGAAAATTGTATTTTAGCTTTAATCCACTTGCTAGGGGGGTTCCCGTGTGCATTTTATGTATAGAAAAACACCCTAAAGGATCATGTAGGTACTATGTGGGTTATCATTTTTCACGTGGGTGCCAGCTTGGCAGAGTGGGCATAACCTCAGAATCCGCCATTTTAAAAATGGCGGCGGGATTTATTACATGAAACTCATTAGGAGCTTATATCTCGAAAACGGTAATATATAGTGAGTTACTTTTATAACAATAAATGTTGCTTACACAATAAGGAACAACTTTTGTATTTACAAAAATGCCCTATAGCTATTTAGGAGTAGTTGAGCAATTTATGTTAATTTAACCTATACATTTTTACTTTGCTTGACAAAAAATTCTAATATCTTTAAAAAACTGTTCCTTTTTAATTTTGCACATAGCACTTATTTCTCTTTATATTTAAGGTCTAAATACCCCCACCAAAGCAAACCTGCAGACTAAGCAAACATTTACCTTGCTGCATTTCTACTAAAATATTAAAATTGTCATATCCATAGTATTTAACCTATACATTTTATCTCTGTTGCCAAAAAAATCTAATTATTATAAAAAAGCTGTTATCTTGTAATTTGGCACATAGCACAAATTTTTCTTCGCATTTAAGGTAAAAAAAACCTGCAAAAAGCATTCGAGAAGCTTCTGGCAGATATATAGCTATTAAAATAATATAAAATATTTTTAAATTAATTTTTTGTTATTAAATGACGCATACAAATATAAAAATAAATATAAACCATTCTATATACTGAATTTTTATTATTACAAATAATAATAAATCCACGGATGTAATAGAAATTATTAAATTCATAACATTTATTATTAAAACGGCGATGGAGCGGGAACGGGACTGGCGGCTAAGTTGGTGCATCGGCCAAGCATTGACGTCGCGTTAACACAACCAGTACCTTGACATTGTCCTTGGTGGTAGGATGCTTTGGACTGATTGTATTGATATTGAACTAGTTTCGTGGATCATCAAATTTGAGCACATTTATTGGATCTAAATTGTAAGCCTATGAGGAGTTTAATGGGGTAAAAATGGATTTTTCCGATTATCGAACCTAAAAACACGAAATTTTATAATAAACGAAGCCATTTTGTAGAGCTCAAAAAAGAAATAACTATGTATATTGAAGCGTTGTATGCCCAAAAGTTACGGAGATAATAAAAAAAAGTTAAATTTAAAATTCCCATGTTATTCTTATGGAGAATAAATAAACTGTTTTAGTTTGCTTCTTAACACCACCTTCATATTTAAATTAATTTATCACATCTCAAAATGGCAGATCCAAGATGGCGGCCGAAAAAAATTAATCCGTCATAACCAAGTGATAATAGGTCGACAATGAATGGTGGTGTATACTTATCTTTATCTAGCACTATTTTGAGATTATGGTCTTAGTTTGTAAATGCACAATGTTAAAAAGGGCTAAAAATAAAGTTGTAAAAAGTCCTCATAACTTTAGAACGGATAAAGATTTTTTAAAACTAATTGCGGCAGTGTAATCAGCGTAAAATTCTAGTTTGAAACAATGGGTCACAACCCTATAGTAATACCAGAAACAAAAGAACCCTGGGCCGTTTCGAGCCGCGCAGGTTTGAATGGTACGCCGCACCTACCGGCGCGAACCACGTGATCTTTTCGTTTCTGCGCAGGTTGTTTTGTTCGTGGTATGTCTATACCTTTACATTTGAAAAAAAAATTTTGTATCCAATATGGCGGATCCAAGATGGCGGCCAAAAATGTTTATCCAGTCAAAATGAAGTACTTACTACACTACAATGATCTGACGTGGTCCGAAGTTGATATCTTAAGAAATGTAGAAAAAAGTAGGGGGGGAACTCATTTAAAATTCACCCTGTATGTACATGGTGTAACATTATCAATTCTGAGATTACTCAAAAATGAAACAAGTTAAGTAATTACATTAATGAATGGTAAATCGGATCCAACACATGTTGGAAACATTAGTTGAAGATCAAGTTTTCTAAATAACTTACCAACGTAAATACTGTTCAACTTTACAATCATGGTGGATGGCATAGGCCTAACCAAAACAACACTTGACAAACATACAATTTGTGAAACATTTACACTAGGCTTGTAGAACATCACAAAATGAAGTTATTTGCAATCTGTTTAATGCATAAGTTACAGATTTTTGTGATAAGTTACCGATGACGTTAATTGTGATAGTTGTGATACTAGATACAGTTATGGAACACCTGCTTAGCATATAATAATAATGCAAATATTTTTTTTTTAGTTATTTGAGCAAATTTTTTGTAGTTGAACAATTTAAGGGGGGAAGATGAATTAATCTTAATAATTATAATAACATCAGCAATGTTAATTAATTCATCTACATTCAAATACCGGTATCCTCCTCAACTCCCAGAAAATCAATTCAACAACTTGAGGCCTAAACATAATCATAGTATCAAAAGTATTTATTGCAACCATTGCAACTGTCTGCTCCTCTTTGACCGATTGAAAACATAAATTATCAACAACCACAGATAGTTCAGTGCTAAGGTAAGGAATTCACAGTCTGGAGGTCCCGGGTTCAAGACCCGCTGGGGAAGATAATTTTGATTCTAGTTTTTTCTCAAAATTTGTTTTTATGAACTATTTAATCAAAATGCTCAACTGATATATATGCATTTCACACAAAATCTTTTATCATTTCGTGTTTAGGATATGCCCATGGGATGGCTGGTCCTATGTGAAAACAATTTTCAACTTGTTGCAAAGTCAATTTTAAAATTGTTGTCAAAACAGTTTTTAAATTGTTGTAAAACTGTTGCAATATAGTTGTAAAACAATTTTTAAAATATTTTAAATTTTGCCGGTTGTCAACTATACTCATATTAATAACAGTTTTAATATAAGTTTATAATTGATATTAAAACAATTTTTTTCTCGTTTTTCTGCTACTTGGGACATCAACATTTCTTATAATACTTAAAATTTCTTATAAAACTTATCTTCTATTTCATTTTAATTTCAACCCCCACACTCCATTGTCAGTCCTTTCATTATAACGTTAAGCCTTTTAAATTTCATTGCATCTTTGTTCATTTGTTTCAATAAAACACCTTTTGTAATTCGTATATTTTTTTTAACTTATTAACTTATTTTTATTTAACTTTGTTAACTTATTAACTTTAAATATTTATAGAATAGGCCTAGCCTAAATGAATATTGTGAGGTGAGTTTACAAGTTCGGGAAGTAAACATTTCATATAAAAGGTTTCAAGTTTTTCTTTCATGTTTACTTCCCAAAAGTCATCGTCCCGATCAATTTTTACAGTTTTTAGACCTTTTGGTGTCCAAATGGCAAGTTTCCTCCCAACCTTTTGAAATTAGTTCTTCATGTTTGTCATACGTTTTCCGGTTCATGGCACGAACATTCATTACAGACAGCAGCCGTTCTAAGGCGACAAATCCTCCACCATTGGTAATAGAACCGGCTACTGCTGCACTGTTTATGTCCATTGACATTGCATTTCCCCGAGGTTCAGGCTCACTCCATATTGTCTGTTTGATGTGGCACATGTTGCAATCAAACACAAACCCACTCCTAAGCCCTCTTTTTATTTCACTAACTAATTTCAGGTTTCTGAGGGAACAGCCAAATTGAGGTACATGTTTAGTTGGACAAATTGATCAACTAAATAACAAATGTCAACTATTCTACGACCGGTAATATCACAGTTGCCCAAACAGTCAGTAGGATCAGATGATAGCGTGGAATTGTCTACAAAGCCCAGGCGCATATTGTATTGAGCTGTGTGGCACGATACTGGCAGTGCAGCACAGCACAGGGCGGAATTGGGCAAAAAGTCTGTGTTGCACAATTGACATCGCAAATTGGGAAGCAGTGTCGTGCAGTTCTCGTATAGGAGTGATACAGTTTATTGTGTATTGTTGTATGTTGTTAAATATTAGGATTTGAGTTTTGAGTCAGATTCAGGTGCTGATCTAGATTTATTGTTACTTCTTCACAAGAGAACAAGAAAGAAAGGGCGAAAAAATTTGCAATGTTTAGTGTTTTTCGTATTTTCTCCCAGATTTCATTCTTGTAATTACTATTTATACACTTACTATGACTGGTAACCTAAAAACTGGATAAAAATGCACAATTTCTATTAATTATCCTCTAGATCCGTCACAAAACACTAGTAAAGCGTAAACCCGGCGCAGGTGAGCAATGCGGCACAGACACTTGTGACTCGACCACAAGTGCGCGCAGTCCACGTGCGGGACTGCACTGCCCTGCCCTGCGCTGCGTCATAATATAAGCGTTTCCTAGCGAACATGTGGTTTACAAAAGACTGCCCTGCGCGGCACTACGCTGCGCTGCTCCGACTGCGTCTCAATATGCGCCGGGCCTTTAGAGGTAACAAATTTCCATCCTCTTCCCCACAGCTCATCGCCTCATCAGCAATCAGCTCCTCAACATCACTACTTAGTTTTCTTTTTCTACTTCCCACAACACCAAAATCTCTCAATACTCTCCACTCAGCCAACCTTTCACCACCTCTGTTTTTCGCCTTTCTTCGAAACGGTCGTTTTTTATTTCCTATAATACCACACCCGTAAATAAAAAGAAGCACACAAAATGACTTTCTACATTTGTAAGTAAGTAGCACTACGAATTATTACTAGGGAATTCTAAACGTCACTGGACTTGTGGACACAGCAGACCAAATAGGTTGCTAGCCTAGAACATAACCTCACAGTTCACAATAATGTCTGGGATGGAATTGGCATGTTTTTTCAACATTGTGACTTGCGAAAGTAAGAAATATAAGGTGTAGGGGTGGGGCGAGTGCAATGTGTCTCGTGGTTACAATGTGTACGGCCGAGACGTCGGCCAAGGTGGGAGGGGGTAGCTATCTGTGCTGTGATCGACCTAGAGGTTTAGGAGATTTCCTTCCCTAATGATAACATCTTGTCTCGGTGGTGTAGTGGTTAGCGCACCGGAGAAACGATATAAAGGTTACCGGTTCGAAACCTCCGGAGGCACAAACTTTTTGATTCGATTTCTTCATTATCGTTATAGTTTATAGTTTGGATAGGTTATGACAGTTTGATTTTATAATTATAAATTATGTAATTGAATTTTAGACATTTAAAATTTTATTTTATAAACAGAACAATTTTTTATACCAGCAGACTAATTCGTTCAAAAATACATCTGTACATATTAGTTAAATTATGAAATTTGCCCGTTATCACATGAAACGAATATAATTTAATGCCTTAAATGTATATATTGTATTAAAAGATTTTATATTTCTACTAAACTGTATCTAATTTCCAATCATTGCGTGGGACAGGAAGGCTCTGGCATATTGATTGTACACATGTTGGTTTTGTACTTATATCAGTATAGAACTAAGAAATAGTATTTGATAAATTTACAACATATTTTATACTTGTATTCAAATTTAAAATGTATTCAACACCACACCATTTCTTACTGTCCCCAGTTCATTTCCTTTCTTTCAATAACTATAACTATGACAACAATAATCATAACAATAATTTCGTAACAATATTTGTTCCACATTAAATAAAAAAAGCTATAAAATTAGCAGCGCATGATGAATGTAGAACCATAATAACCTGATTTGAACTCCCGCCAAATGCGCGAGCGTGCTGCTATCTCACGGAGAACTGCCAGACTACTACGCCGAATTACCGCCGCGATGGACAGCAAAAACATGCATTTTCTTAAACCATATCACGTGCACAGTTTACGTCGGATCTTCTTGAAACAAACTTTATTCGATAGATAATTAAATTTTGTAGGGGGTTTGCTTTTTCGAATTTCAAATATTCCTTTAGAAAATCCTCCACAAATTTGTAAACTTAAACAAGCGTATTTTTGCTATAATTATTTTAATAGTTCTTTAATCAAAAAAATAAAAAGCAAACCCCCTGTAGAATTGTATTCTCTTTCCAATGACACATCAAACGTAGTTCTATGTTAAAAAATAACGGCGCTATATGGTTCAAAAGATTACATTGTTCTTATGGGGCATCAATCCAATATGGCCGACTGCTACTGCCCACTCTTAAAAAAGAGCTAAATAGGCTACATTTGCTGCATCTGTTCCACTTATTTGCTTTTTTCTTCTGATGACAAGTGGTGGAAGAAAGTTTTCTGCATAGTAGGTCTACATGAGGTTTTCATGTTAGTTTGGAGTCAATGGTCATGGACCATCGCTAGTGTGTATATTGTTTAGTCAGAAAAGGGGATAATAGCGTCTTCAGTCACAGAAAAGACTAAAGACAAAAATATAAATAACCAACTATTGTGTCCTCAAAATGATCTCACACATTAGTAAATATTTTGGTGTCCCAGAAATGTAAATAATCACAAGCTGCATAACACTAACTCTTGGTTAATTTCAGTGCACATACCCCAACACAGGGGGGAGGATCATGTTGTTTGTCGGAGGTCCGTGCTCCCAGGGCCCGGGTCAGGTGGTCAATGATGATCTGAGGGAGCCAATCCGCTCACATCACGACATACACAAGGACAACGCCAAGTATATGAAGAAGGCCACCAAGCACTACGATGGCCTAGCTGTGAGAGCTGCTACCAACGGACACGCCATCGACATCTACTCTTGTGCTCTGGACCAGACAGGACTTCTGGAGATGAAACAGTGCTGCAACTCTACTGGGTGAGCCAATTAATTGTTAACGAATGTGCTCTTATTGAATGTGTTCTAAACCTCCTGTAGAAAGGGGTCTAAGTAGGCCTACATAAACCTATATACATCATTTGTCTTGCAAGCCACGTAATGTTTCATGTATTTTTTCAAAATTTGATTAGGTGAAAAAGCACCCATTTTACCAATTCAAAATTTTAAATACCTGCCATTTTGGCTAGGGGTGACATATCGACTTTAGATTTGCACCATTGCATATATGTTTTGACAAACCCTTCAAAATGAGGGTCACTCAATAGGGGTTATTATTTGGAAAAAAATAAGTCACCCCACCCCCTACCCTGTTAAGGGGGCTAAACAATATTTTTTATGTAAAAAATTGCGGAATTTTGTTAATAATCAATGCCACAAACAGAATATTTCTATCTATTTCGGTTTAAGAAATACAGATCTGTTTCCATATTTGTAAAAAATTGGTGCTTTTTCACATAAATCAAATTTTGAAATACCTGCCATTTTGGCTAGGGGTGGGATATCCACCTCGGGTCTGTGTCATTGCGTTTCTTTTGACAAACCCTTCAAAATGAGGGGTCACACAATAGGGGTTGCTATTTGAAAAAATAAGTCACCCCCTTCCCCTACGCTGTTAGAGGGGTAAACAAATATTTTTGATGTAAAAAATTGTGGATCTTTTGTTAACAATAAATGCCACAAACAGAACATTTCTATCTATTTCGGTTTAAAAAATACAGTTTTTTTCTAATACTTAATTTTACACACCGTATAATAAAATACTCTCGCCGCAGCAAACCTGCAGACTAAGCGAATTTCCATTTACCTGGCTGGATTACTGCTAAAATATTCCTTAAAAATTGTCAGATTTATTTCCTATTTAATTAACATTAATTTTAGTGAGTACTTGCTGCTACAGGGAAGATATTGAGATGTGTTTTTATTGCAATGTTGATAGCTTAGTATTAAATAAACAAAATTTCCAAACTTGGTTTAAATATATCCATAAACAAGCAAACTACAACAGTTTATTTATTCTCCATAAGAATAACATGGGAATTTAAAATTACAATTTTTAAAATTATCTCTGTAACCGTTCGGCATACAACGCTTCAATATACAAAATTATTTATTTTTTAAGCTCTACAAAATGTTTTGGAGAGAAATGATGAAATTTAGTGTTTTAGGGTCAAAAATGGGAAAAATCAATTTTTACCTCATCGCAAACTCGTTCGATTAAATGTAGGTTTAAACGTTTGTACCAAATTTCATTAAAATGGGTTCATTTTTGCTCGAGTTATTGCGCTAATGGACACATATATATATATATATATATATATAAAATTGAACGGATGGTGTTTATGGCCCCTGGGGACCTTAAACGAAAAAGTAAATCGGTCCCGGGTCTAGGTCTTACCATAAGACCTGCGGTAATAGCTTATTCCCTATATTGGAAATTCGCTAAAAGAACTTAATTTTAAACAAATCAAAAAGTATTCATAGCTCATTGTTCAAAATATGGAAAAGACATTGATAAGTGTGTTAATATATTGTATCTTATTTATTGTTTTATTAAACTGCTCCCCATTGTTTTCTGTTTAGGGGCCATATTGTGATGGGTGATTCTTTCAACTCTTCACTTTTCAAGCAAACATTCCAAAGAGTTCTGGTCAGAGACCAGAAGAATGAATTGAAGATGGCTTTCAACGGCATTTTGGAAGTCAAGACATCAAGGGAACTTAAAGGTAAAGGCTGGATTTACACTTTTTAAATTCTTAAGTTAAGAATTTTTTCTGAATATAAGACTTTATCTCAATTTAGGGTAGAGAGCTAAACTCTTAAGTTCTTACTATAAATAAATAATATACTCATAATTACTAGTAATGCCTCTGTTTAGACCAAATGTGCCTCAGACCCCTGAAATCGTATACTGGCTCAATGTGCTAACAGCTGTATATTAACTTTGTTGATGTCCAGTGATGGGAGCGATCGGTCCTTGTGTCTCACTCAATGTCAAGGGTCCGTGTGTGTCCGACACTGACATCGGCCTCGGAGGAACCTCTCAATGGAAACTCTGCACCTTCACGCCTCAGACCACCATGGCACTCTTCTTTGAGGTTGTTAATCAGGTGTGTAAATTAAATATACATTACCTACCAAAAACATTCAAGTTTCTCTATGAGGCTGTACCTTATTACAATAAGTTCAACCTTTGAAGACAATACTAATCAAAAATTGTTCTTTCCTTTGTAGATTTAAAAATTTAAAATTAACTATCAAAATTCTTGAGTTAAATATTGGTTTTCTGTCCAAAAGTTGAACATTTTTGTAAATAAAGCTTGTGTCTTTATCTTCATCATGGCATTGTCAAATGTACAAAAATTTAAGGAGGTATTACAACCTACAATCCAGGGGATCTTTCAATGGATTTTAATCTACTGTAATATTAATATTGTATCAGTCTTTATTTATTAATTTTATATTAAATTTTTGCTTCATTATCACATTATTTTTTTTTATTTATCAACCAAAGACATTCCTTTTTTAGCCTGTAAATTGCCCTTTAGGGAAAAAACTAGTATAATGTACAGTGATCATTGTACGCCCTAAGTCCAACACCATTGACGATTCTTATTTTAGGATCAGGATCCATAGAACTCAAACCCACCTTTTTTTAGTAATAATTGATAAATATTTACATCTTGACTATTTGGACATAAAAAAACACACTTCTCACTCTTGACTATTCAATAAAGAAACACAGAGGATACGCGTCCGGTAACCGGACGTGGATTAGGCGTCCGGTAACCAGACGTGGATTAGGCGTCCGGTAGGGGGTCCCGGAACGCCATTACCACAATGATACGATGTTCAGCCATCAGTGTTCGTGGTGTAGTGGATAGAGAGCTCGACTGATATACGAGAGGTCCCCGGTTCGAAACCTATCGGTAGCTTTAACTTTTTGTCACAGATTTTTCTTTGAATGTAATTTCTTCTTAACTGTACATCTTTTGTTAGAATTTTTGGCATTTATAATTTTATGTTATGATGAGAATTGAACCTTCATTTGATTTTTTTCACTATCAGCAAGTTTGGTTGGTTAGGTTAGGTTATGACAGTAACTGCCGGACGCCTAATCCACGTCCGGTTACCGGACGCGTATCCTCTGCGATAAAGAAAGACACATGTTGAATAAGTTGATTGTAGGTTTAGTTGTGATAATGTTGTGCCGATGGTTTCCAGCATGCTGCTCCTATACCCCAGGGTGGAAGAGGTTGTATTCAGTTTATCAGCCAGTATCAGCACTCAAGTGGGCAGAGACGCATCAGAGTCACCACCATAGCTAGGAAGTATGTCTAATACCAAGTATTGAGGTTATGGATGTGGTGCAATGTACAATGAGACTTTTTACCCTTTTTAGCAGTGATGCTGACTTGGCATATTTGCACTTGCAACTTGGCATCATAGATGTCCCCATTGAGGTTTATGATTGGGTTGTTTCTTATTGGTTAGGATATTAAAAAAGTTGGATGAAAATGGATGAATAGTATACAGTTAAATATTTGTTCTTTATAGTCATCAAATCGAGTGTGATAGCTCAATATCCGAAAAATGCATCAGATTACTTTGTTTTCTAAATAGTAAGAGTGTGTGTATTTACGTGGAAGATCGAGATTAAAGTCACAAGGTAACCCATGAAAGATATGAGTGATCTCTTTTGTATTTAGGGCTGTAGCTGTGGTCAACCCATAAGAGATCTCTTCTGAGGTACATCTCGTGACATCTAAGCTGGCACTTGGCCAATCACTTTTAGCATCTAGTTCAAAAACATCTTGTCCCGTCATGCGGGTTGCGTCAACTGTCCTCACGACTCATGTGAAGGCGCTCAAGTATAATATACGGGGAGTCAACCCGAAGAGGTAGAAGAAATGTTTGCAGTCCGGTATTTTCCTTACTTCCACACTGCCCGCGCTAGGCCAAGTGCCAGCTTAGGTGTCACAAGCTGTATAGAGTAGCCAGTAACATTGATGGTGTTGACAGTTGGGCAGATGCCACTACCAATCTGCACCACATCAGTGCTGGGTTTGACCAGGAGGCTGGAGCTGTGCTTATGTCTCGTATGGTAGTCAACCGAGGAGAGACAGACGATGGACCTGACGTCATGCGCTGGGCTGACAGGATGCTCATCAGATTGGTTAGTCCATACTCATTTTTTATATTGTATAATAAATATGTGGGTAAACGTAATTTCAGTGTCTTTGCTTTCAATTTTTAAAGTATGACAAATTGGTTTTTAACAAATACAGTTAAAGGATCTTTATTATCTTTGACAGAATTGGCTCTATTATTGTGTATTTGATTTGTGTTCCACTTTCTAATGATATTTTATGATGAAGTGTATTACAATGATGATAGTTTAAAACTGAAAATCAAATTTAAAACATTTAAAACCCAGTTTTGTACGACATTGGATTAATTTCTCCCAAGTTTTACTTCATACATCATTTATCATTCTAAGTCAATACGAGTATCTGTTCCTAAGAATAATAGACTATTGCTGATTAACTAGCCCTATAAGCCTTAATTGCATGCTTTGACATTTTCAGTGTCAAAAGTTTGGAGAGTATTCAAAGGATGACCCTAACAGTTTTCGACTGCCTGAGAACTTTAGTTTGTATCCTCAGTTCATGTATCATCTACGGCGCTCACAGTTTCTACAGGTCTTCAACAACAGCCCTGATGAAACCTCTTACTACAGGTAAGTGCCCTAACCATTCAGCAAAATGACAGTGTTAGTCAGTTAATTGCTATCTGTATTATCAGTGTTGTACAAAGATATAGCCCAAACAATGTCTATTTATGTGGCTGACCACTGGAGGGGACTTCATGGTAAGTTTACTCAATCTTCGTGTTTTAAGGTTACTCATGAATTGCAACGTTTAGTTACTACAATAGAGTCCCGCAAACTCGGCACTCGATAACCCGGCAGTCTGAATAACTCGGCCATCACCTGGCTCATAAAATTAGTGATTTTTTGATTCCGTGTTCAACATGGACTCAAGCCAGCTCAAGTCAAATCATTCGCAACTGGTAAAAAGGATTTGTGTACTATATCTGATGACTTAATACTGATGATGTGTCTTTTCTAACATACTGTATGTTTAACAAAATACCATATGTTATATTTAATAAGTTAACTTTGTTTTTGTTTACAATCATTGTTATTTAGGATTCAATTCAGAATACACCTATTTTATTTTACACATCTATACTTATTTAATACGCAAGCAGGATTTTTGTGACAATTACTCCTCCGAAACTACTGAACCGATTGACATGTTTTTGGTGTCATTGGAAAGAGCGTAACGTGAAGTTGTGCAGGAAACTTTCTTTTTAGGTAAATAATTAGAGAGTGAGGCCCTGGGGCCCTTTAAAGTTTCGTATTTCTCCATAAGATTAACATGGGAAACAAAGATTGTTTTGAAACTCCAGCTGTTGTCAGAAATTAAATATTAATAATTGGTCCCCATGGAAGCATGAGAAAATTCACCATGTTTACATTTGCTTTGACATTTAAATGTAAACAACCAGAACTGTCAAATGCCTATTTTACAATTTCAGACAGCTGATCTAGAAAAATAAAATAACTATGTGGTAGGTTTATTTAATCTTAAACTTTATGATAGATTATTTATTATAAATATATTTTCAATGATTATGAAACAGATTGTTCCCGTTGCGAAGCAAAATTTATAAGTGAGAAGAAGAACACATGTTAATTGTAAACAGTCAATGTGTATATTATTAATGTTGTTGGATATTGGTTTGTGTTTAATGATATAAATGATAAAATTTGTATTTTAAGGATTTGGCATATGAGTAAGCATGTCATAAATAACACCATTTCAGAGTTCTGCCAGTTTTTGAGTAGAGTTTAAAGTAGCCTACACCTAATTGTCTACAAATTGGCTAAATAGCTTAGGTACGGTACTTTATAAAAGCTGACAGCCTTTTTACGTTGACTTAAATTGCAAGATTACCTTTTCCCGTCCATAGGCAGTTTGATTGTTAAAAATAAACCCTATAAATTGAAATAGGACTGTTATGTAAATTGTGAGTATTTCTATTAGTTAATAATCTTTTAGTTGACTCTTTTAAAATCATCGGAAATTATGACTGTTATTTGCTTTTAAACAAGTTATCGGTTTATAAATAAATCCTGTACTTCTTTGCAATTGCTCGATTTCGAGCAACATGTACACTAGTCTTTTATTTAATATGTAACAGTTTGGCGACGAGGAAAACCAGTTTTTAATTTTTTTTACATTCTATTTATTACAATTTATTTTTTAATATGAGTGACCTAAGTTACACTGAAAGTTTGACTGATTTAAAGAAGATTAGAGTAGTAGTGAAGGGTCAGTTGTCTAAGGCTGAAAGATGGCTAGCAAACCTACAAAACATGTCAAAAGAAGTAATCAAAACCAGGATAACAACAATTGAAGATTATTGGGAAAGATTTAATTCTGTACAACAATTAATAGAAGAGAAAACTGAAGAAGCTGAAATTGAGAAAGAAATAGATTACAGAGTAGAAATGGAGGACAAATATTACAAGGTAATGGATGAGTTACAAAAACGTATGGGACAGCTTGCAGAACTACAAGTGAACACTCAAAATATTGTGCCTAGTACATCAAATTTGTCTACTCCACAACGTCGATCCACTACTTCCTCAATGATTTTCACACCATATCAGGAAAATGAATCATTCAAGAACTTCATTCGTCGATTTAAGATATTTCTATATCTACATAGCCAAGAATTGGAACCAAAGGATCAAGTGTACACAATGCTACATGCCTTAACGCCACATTTACATCAGAAACTGTATGATTTGTGCGCTCCTGAAAGTCCTTTGGATAAAACATATGCTGAATTAGTAAGTCTTTTGGCTGATTATGTTGACCCTAAACCTAGTACTTGGGCCTTACAACACAAATTTATGACAAGAACACAAGAATCTGGAGAAACCGTAAAAATATATTCCGTTGAGCTTCAAAAGTTATCTTCAGACTGTGACTTCAACTGTAATAATTGTGGGAAATCAATTGCAAACACATTACTACGCATGCAGTTTATAAGAGGTATTAGCAATTCAGACATAAGAACAAAATTATTACAAGAAAGATCTGCTTCATCGTTTCAAGATGTAGTGAAACTTGCCTCCATTATGGAATTGGCAAAGAACGAAAGCTATATAGTAGAAGAAAACATTCATTCAAATGAGAAAATCAACAAGATAGCAGGTACAGGAACAAAACCACCCCATTTTTCTCCTACTTGGAACAAAAAGTTAAAGTCTCCATTTGAACGCCTCAAAGGTAAATGCTATCGTTGTGGATCACCTAGACTCAGGGCACATCAGTGTAAATTTATCGGAGAAATATGTAAGAAATGCAACAAACAAGGGCATATTGCTAGCGTATGTTTAGGCACAAAACAAACAGAAATTCATTGTACCGAAACTGACAATACTATAGACTATTATAAGGAAGAGAAACAAGAGGTTTTTAAGATACACAACCAGAGTGCCGGTAATGACAAGTTTATGGTCGAGAGACTTATTGAAGGTAAACCTGTGCGGATGGAGTTAGATACTGGAGCAGCAATAAGTATTCTACCATACTCTACCTTCAAAAGTCTCAACATAAATAAAAAGATTTTCCACACAAACATAGAACTAAGGACATACTCAAGCGAAATAATCAAACCCCGGGGTGTCGTCTTTGTAGAATGCACTTACAATGATTAGGTGTTTGTTGGGAAACTCTACATAGTGAACCAAAATTTCGATGCCATTTTCGGAAGAGAATGGATTAGAGAGGTCAAACTGGATTGGGCAGAACTTAAAACAGTTAGTAACAATACTACATCTACTGCACTCGAAGATCTTTTGGATGAATTCAAGGAATTATTTGAACCAGGAGTAGGACTCATACCTCACAAAAAAGCACACTTACAGCTTGTTGAAGGGGCAAGACCTATTTTTGTGAAGGCTCGTCCAGTCCCATATGCACTAACTGAAAAAGTAGAACTCGAGTTGAATCGTCTGGAAGAAGCTGGAATCATTTCCAAAACAGACAAGTCCGATTGGGGTACTCCAATTGTACCTGTAGTAAAGCCTAATGGTAACATACGAATATGCGCTGATTACAAGGTTACAGTAAATAAACAAATCAAAGAAGAACATCATCCAATACCTCGGATCGAAGACATTTTTGCTCAAATGAATGGAGGACAGTTGTTCTGTACTTTGGATTTAAGTAACGCTTATCTCCACTTGGAAATGGATGCTGAGAGTGCAGAAATTCAAACTTTGAGCACTCATAAAGGACAATACATAGTTAACAGACTGATGTTTGGTGTAAAAGTTGCTCCAGGAGTTTGGCAAAAGGTGATGGACGGAATCCTTCAAGACCTTCAAGGTGTTCAGTGCTTCTTCGACGATATAATAATTCAAGGAACGTCATCAAAAGAACTACTAGAAAGACTAAAGCAAGTGTTTGAGCGTTTAAGGAGTCAAAATTTGAAGTTGAACCGTGACAAGTGCAAATTTTTTCAAAAGAAAATTGAATACTTAGGACATGTTATTGACGCCACTGTAATCCACAAAAGTAAGGATAAAATCACAGCAATTACAAATGCACGAAGGCCTCAAAACATACAGGAACTCCGATCTTTCCTAGGGCTTGTTAATTACTACAACCGGTTTGTAAAGAATTCGTCCACTGTTTTAAATCCTTTACATAGACTTCTAAAAAAAGGGCAGTCATTCATATGGGACAGTAAGTGTGAAGAAAGTTTCCAAAACATCAAGAAAAGAATAACAAGTGACACAGTTCTTTGTCACTTTAACCCAGACCTGCCATTGATCCTTGCAACTGACGCTTCACCAGTGGGACTTGGAGCAGTGATATCACATCGTTTCCCAGATGGAAGTGAAAAGCCTAGCTTTTGCTTCAAGATCATTGACCAATGCTGAAAAACATTACAGCCAAATCGATAAAGAAGCCACAGGTATATACTGGGGGTTGAAGAAATTTTTTTCTTATTGCTACGGGCGTCATTTCACACTCATCAGGGACCATAAACCATTAGTGTCAATCTTCAATCCCAACAAGAGCCTACCGTCAATGTCAGCTACGCGACTATTCAACTACTCCCATTTTTTATCAGGATTTAACTACACAATTGAATTCAAGAGAACTGGTGACCATGGGAATGCAGATTTCCTCTCAAGATTTCCTGTGGAAGATTCAAAATTTACAAGTATTGACCAGTTTGGACATTTTCAAACAAACCAATTGAACACCATAACTATCAATCCCAAAGAACTAGCCAAAGAAACTAAGAAGGACGCATATCTAAAACAAATTCTTGAGGCTCTTGAGGAGGGTCAATCATTAGAGCCATTGGGATTTCACGATAATGAAGTTACATTACATGAAGGATGCCTCTTCAAAGGGTGGAAAGTAATCATCGCAAATTCCCTCAAGAAAAGAATTCTCAATGAACTACACTACGGGCACATTGGTATAGTAAAAACCAAAGCTTTGGCAAGAAGTTACTGCTTTTGGAGAGGAATGGATAAAGACATTGAAAACATGATTGCTGTTTGCAAGCCTTGTCGGGAGAAACAAAATTCTCCAACGAAAGAGATCAACCATCCTTGGGAACCAGCAACTCAGCCATGGGAGAGAATACATATAGATTTCATGGGCCCAACAAATGGACAACAATTTTTCATTGTTGTTGATGCCTTCTCCAAATGGGTAGAGGTAATACCCACAAAAACAGCAACTACCGATTGGACTATTAAGGAGTTGAAGAAACTTTTTAGTACTTTTGGTCTTCCAAGCCTCCTAATTTCAGACAATGGACGAAGTTTCACTTCTCTTACTTTTCAAGAGTTTCTTAAGTCATGTGGAACTCAACACAAAACTACTGCTCCGTTCCACCCATCATCTAATGGACAAGCTGAACGCTTTGTACAAACAGTGAAGAAGATGTTGAAGTCGATATTAGATGAACCAGGAACACTTGACAGTAAAATTCACAAGGCGTTAATTCAACTCCGTCAAGTACCAAACTCAACAGGAAACTCGGCATACTATCTCATGTTCAACAGACAAGTAAGAACATACCTCAGTGTTATGATACCTTCTAGAATCGAGGACTCAAAAGACAAACCTAAAGGTATAACACGCATATTTAAGGTGGGAGACCGTGTTCAAGTGAGAAACTACTACAAGGGTCAGACAAAATGGAGTTTCGGAAAAGTTACATCAAGAGATGGAAATCTACATTACAACGTTGAACTGGAGAACGGAGTAACATGCAGACGACATGTAGATCAAATGCTGCGATCAAGACTTTAAAGGGGGAAAATTGATGTGTCTTTTCTAACATACTGTATGTTTAACAAAATACCATATGTTATATTTAATAAGTTAACTTTGTTTTTGTTTACAATCATTGTTATTTAGGATTCAATTCAGAATACACCTATTTTATTTTACACATCTTTTATTTAATATGTAACAACTGACTTGTGTTATAAATATAAATAAAAAAGGCAGGTAAAAGGCTTAAAAATTTTATTGTTTTTATTTTTAACCTTAGTTTCTGATAACCCGGCATTTCACAAACTCGGCACCCTTTCAGTCCACATTACGCCGAGTTTGCGGGACTCTACTGTAGTAGGTAATCTATTTTTAATACTTTAATACTTTTCAATGAAATGGCGACCATACAAAGTACCTAGGTATTTTATTTTAAGCCAAGTATGAATGGAGATGAGTGTAGGATGAGTGGCACGATCTTGTAGTCTTAGTGTCAATGTATGTAAATATGAGTATCAGAGTCGGGTCATAATGTGGCCACAGTCAGGTTAAGTATTTGAGTACAAAGCCAAAGCCTAATGCAAAGGCTTTTCCGTGGTAAAGAAAAAGTGTTCAGTGGTACTGAAACCTGAAACCTATACCATCGACTTTTGGATACTTTAAAGATGTAGCTTCCTCTGGTTTGTATGGCCAACTGTGTATGATACACACTTGTACAAAGCGTGCCAATCTGTCCGTAGCCACTTGAACAAATGAGCGTTGGGATAATATTGGTCTCTATTCTTTTTTAGAATAGTGTTTTAGCTTACAATTAGTCAGACATAGTGTGTGGCTTTAAAACGTATGATTTTGTTTTTGTGTTAACTTCTATTCAGATTTTTTTTAGTTAAGACAAGAAGCCTGGTCCCGAGGTGTCCAAACAAGATGGAGTCTACTCTATATCTAAAATCAAAATCCATACTGAAAGCCTATTATTTTAGATGACTTGACAAGGTTGTGTTTGCAGACACATCCTGATGCGTGAGGACCTGACACAGAGTCTGATCATGATCCAGCCGATCCTCTACAGTTACAGCTTCAACGGTCCCCCAGAGCCTGTACTGCTGGACACTTCTAGCATACAGCCCGACCGCATCCTGCTCATGGACACATTCTTCCAGATACTCATCTTTCATGGAGAGGTAAAAATAACCTATCTGATACATATTTATTTTTCCGTTTGTTTCCCTAAGTACCTTTCAAGAAAAGAAAATACTTTTTGTATCTTGAGATAGATACAAACCCAAAATATCCAATAATTTAGTTCAAGATGAACCTTTATCAAGTATACTGGTTTACGTCTCTGACAAGGTGTAAATGTTGCCTAAGGTATGCCAGTGATTTTCTTTATAAAAACCAAGAGCGGTTGTTTTGATCAAGCTGATATAGAGCTGATGAAGCCTATTGTAATCTTGTGTTACTCAATGCCTCAATGGTGACTCTTTGTTATTCTCTATTAACCCTTCTGGTTCAAATTTATTCTTTTAAATGTTGTTCTGAGTTATTCTAATATTGCTAATGCCATAGTGTCAGTACTCTTTGATTTTATTTAAAGGAAGTACTGAGGACTAATAGTTTTAAGCATAATTTCTAGACTATAGCGCAGTGGCGGGCCCAGCGCTACCAAGATATGCCTGAGTATGAGAACTTCAAGCAGCTGCTGCAAGCTCCTGTAGATGATGCTCAGGAGATCCTGCACACTCGCTTCCCCATGCCTCGCTACATAGACACCGAGCAGGGCGGCTCTCAGGTAACTCATCTCCTGTACACTTTCACTTTACACATATTATCAATCATCCAATTCAATTCAATTCAATTCAAATATCTTTATTCATTTTTATGTACATTGTACAATAAATAGTGTCAAAATAATTACAATAAAAATAGTGTCAAAATAGTTCAACAGGATAAAAAACAGCAAAACATGAGGAATGGTTATAAAAACAACAAATACATTTTACAAATCTAGTAAGATAATTTATCATAGCGACTAAGGGAGGTGAAAAAATCGTCAAATGAATAAATTGCTAAATTTATTAAAAACTCTTTCAATATTTTTTTAAATTTGTTTGGATCTGTTTCTTTTTTAATATTTTTTGGAATAAATTTTAAAAATCTATTACCTGCATAGGATGGTTTCTTTTCAAAAAATTTAGTCCTATGTGGTTGTACATTTTCGTTTTTATTTCTTAAATTATAAGAATGGGATTTTTCTTTTGGTTCCGAATATTCTTCTTGTTTTTTTGCAATCATTATTGATTCATATATATACTGCCCGTAAACAGTAAAGATTTTTAGGTCCTTAAAATGCTCTTTAGCTGACTCATCATGCTGCAGCTTAAGCATGATTCTAACCGCTCTTTTTTGCTCCTTTAAAATGCTATCTAGATTACATATTTTTGTTGAGCCGTAGAGTGCTATGCCAAACGTGATATGTGAATGCACATGTGCAAAATATATATTTTTTAAAGTTTTTAAGTCACAGTAAAAAGACATACTTGATAAAGCATGGATTCCGGAATTAATTTTACTTAAAATTTTGTGGACATGTTTATCCCAATTCAAGTGCTGATCTAGTGTTAAACCCAAAAAATTTGTACTAACTTCTTCATCAATATTTTGTAAGTTATAGCTTATTGTTATTGGCTCCTTCTGTCTATTTTGTTTTGTCTTAAAATTTATAAATTTAGTTTTTTGTAAATTCATCATCAAGTTGTGGCTATTAAGAAAATTTCCAATACTCTCCAATTCTACATAAGCGAACATTTCTGTTTGCTCTATTGAGTTGGATGATATCACCAAATTCGAGTCATCAGCATACAGACATAGTGTTGAATTTTTATTATATATTAAAGAATCTTTCATTCCACATAGATAGCACAAAAAAAGCAGGGGCCCTAATATTGAGCCTTGTGGCACTCCGAAAACTATTGGCTTATAAGTTGAGCATGATTTAATAATTCTATTGTAATTTGTCAAGTGAGTTATTTCTACGTATTGAGATCTTTCAGTGAGATATGACGTAAACCAATTAAGAGTTCGTTTTCCTACTCCTAGTCTTTGAAGTTTTTCAAGTAGAGTAGAATGCCTAACACTGTCGAATGCCATAGATAGGTCCATAAAAATACCAGTTGTACATTTTCCTTTGTCAACCGACTCAATTACAGTTTCAATAAAAGATACAGCAGCACTCACAACCGATCTTCCATTCCGAAATCCATGCTGGTTATCATCTAAAAGATTAAATTGTTCTAAAAATTTGGAAAATTGAATGTATACTGCTTTTTCATATATCTTAGAGATAGCAGGGAGCACAGATATTGGTCGATAGTTAGATACATTTGTCAAGTTATTTTTCTTATGTAAAGGTATTATTTTAGCTTGTTTTAATTTCCTTGGAAAAATTCCAGACACAAAAGAGGAATTTATTAAGTGGCATAGAATTTTACTAATGTTCCCTTTTACAGCCTTAATTACTGTTATAGGGATTTCATCATACCCACTAGAGTATTTATTTTTCAAAGAATTTATGATTTTTTCCACCTCCCTATCATCAATTGGATTAAGTTCAAATTTTGGCTTTATACACATACTAGTTGTATCACAAAAATTATCATTAAAATTTACATTAACAGGACTGTTCTTACTACTTAAGTCTCTAACAGTGTTGGCAAAATGGTGATTAAATATTTCAGCAATTTTGTTTGGATCTGAAACAATTCCAGAATCATCTTTTAAAGTTATGTTATTGAAAGTCTTCCTCTTGTTTTCCCCAACTTCAGAGTTTATAATATTCCAAACTGTTTTTTGAATATTAGTAGCTTTAGAAATTTTTTCGTTGAAATATTTATTTTTAGCTTGCCGAAGCTCACATTTATATTTTTTCTTTTCCTGATCCAAAAGCAATTTTAAATTTTTGTTTGTTTTTCTACGGTATTCTTTTGATAAATTTATGATGTACCTACGTTTATCTTCCAATTCTGAAGTTACCCAATTCCTTTGTTTTTTCTTTTTTGTGGTTAACAATTTAGGGAAAGCTAGATTAAAATAATAATTTAGTATGCTGTAAAAAGCATTGTATTTTGATTCAACATTAGCATCATAAACATCAGTCCATGTTTCCTTTGAAAGTAAGTTTGAGAAAAGAGTTATATTTTCAGGAGAAAATTTGCGCATTTCTTGTTTGATGGATTGATTGGTGTTTTTTATAGAGTGGTTGAAATTAAGTTTTAATAATTGCCCATCATGATCAGACAGAAATGTTATTAGACCTTCTACCTTTATACTGGAGGTTTTTATATTTTTTACTAAAAAGTTATCAATACGTGTTTTTGAACTTTCCGTTACTCTGGTTGGGAAATCAACGAGGTACCTCATATTATGTCTTTTAAGTGTTTCTTTTAATAATCTATGTTTACTGTCATTTTTCAAAACATCAATATTTAAATCACCAGCAACAATTAATTTATCACATTTATTGCTGAAGTAATCAAGTAAAATGCCTAATCTATCTGTAAAAATAGCTGCATCAGAATTAGGTGATCTGTAAAGACCTATGATGATAAATTTTTGTTTATCAACCTTCCAAGTACAAGCACAAAATTCAAACTGCATTTCTTCTAGCAATAAATTAGATAAAGAATCTGGCACAGTCACCTTCCGCAACTCAAACCCCTCTTTTGCTAGAATGTATCAGCTTAACATGGTTTTAGTTAAATGGTCTGGCATTAGTTAACAAGGGTTTCTTGAACATTTGACGCTCACACATTACTGTATATAAGTTTGCCAATAACTCATTTAGTGTAGCATCAGAAAATCGAGGGAGTCAGATTAATTAATCCTTTTAACTAATAAAAAAGTTTGATATTTTATTTGCAGTGTCTATCATAAGATGTAGGCCCTACTGTAATGCCTACAAATTTCAACTACATAAACAAGCCTAACAAAAATTAAAACAACACAAAAATAAACAATTAAAGCGTTATATCTTTGACAGAAAGTCTATAAAAAATAACATTTCCGTAAAAAAAGATTTTCATGGAATATTTGTACTGTTTAAATCCTAAGGATAATTAAAATATACTTGTATTTCAGTTTACATAATAAATTTATAAAAAAATCTAAGAAAACTCCTGTCCAGTGAAATGTATATTTCCTATAGTGTATGTTATAAGTTGTACTGTCTAGGAAATACATATAATCAAAGGCTTTGACACTCGGTATAGAAATAGAAGACGATTAAAAATATTGTTTCTCTTTTCTGTACCAAAGCCAATTGTAAAACTTTCTTCAATTACTAAATTTTATTGAAAAGGCTTTTAATGATGAAATCTTTTACAGGCCAGATTCTTGCTATCTAAGGTCAACCCATCCCAGACGCACAACAACATGTACTCTTATGGAGCTGTAAGTTTAAAACTTATTTTTGGTTATGTAATTGCAACTTGCACGTAAATGTTTATTTATTGTCTTAGCATGTATTGTTTTTAATTATCATGTATTAATTAGCAACAAAGTTTGTATTTTTTGCATTTCCTATAACTTTAAAATTAGAGTTTTTAAATAAAAGAATTAACAACTTATACAACATATCAACCCTTGCAAGACAAAGGGGTGAAGGTACATTATGATAAGCCTATGTACCTTTATCTTGCAAGCTACGGTATACATTAAATATGTTTAGTTAACAATAATTAAAATACAGTATAATACAGTTATATAATATATATAATAGTAGATGAAGTCTTTTTGTATACAGTAATGTTAAAGAAAGACTGCTTACATACGAGAGCAAATGAACAATGAATCAGGGGATTTTTAAGAAAACAATTTTGATAGTTTGTTATATTTTTGTGTTTTTCAAATGATCAGTTGTATTAGATATCATGAATTTTTTAGCTTTATTAAGTGCATTATTTTTCATATTTTATCATTTTTATGGTCTTAGTGTTTTAGTTTTGACAAGTTCTTAGTAATCCTCTCCCGAGGTATAAACTAAAGGATAGTTTTATTTTAAAATTACTCCCCAATGTTACTAATGAGTATAAGGAATTTATTAATATATCAGTCGTAGCCAACTTTAGTCAAATTCAACAATTTCAAGATGGCATGAACACAATTTGTTGTCTGTTACTATCCAGTATTCATTTATTTGTACCTTGAGTAATTAATGTCAATGTGTTTTGTTATGACAGATACTGCCAGCCTTGAGTTCGGTACTGATTTATATTTATTTTGTTTTGGGTTTCCAATAAGGTTTGGGAAGCTTTAAATTTGCTTTATCATTATTTAATTTTCCATAGTGTGTCATTTTATTATTGTAAATGAAGCTTGTAAAACTTAAAAGACATTCATTAGACATATGATACCAACAAGAACTCACTCAAGCAACACTAAAAATGTAGTGATTTTTTTTTAAGTTATTTTAAATGAGTTTTGTTACCTCGATCTTATTTTAAAATTATCCAAATTATTTATTAAAGTCTAAAATATGATACAGCATTAGCGTATTCTATAATATTTGAGTTAAGTGGGTTCTACCTGGCAGCCTGAATTTCAATTTAAGTTGGCAGATTATATGGATTGAAATATAGTTCGGAATTGAACATGCCTTTATTGTAAAAGCTCTCAACATTCTAAAACTAATTTGTTTCCAATGATTGTGTGCTTAACATATCAGAGCTTGCATTGGATAGGGAAAAATAAATTTTTAACTATTATTTAGAAGTTAAAATCACATGTGAAAAAGACTAATCTACATATTTTCAAAATTGTTTTGTAAATACTTAAAGAAACAATTCCAAATGGTGTTCATCTAGTCCATAGTTTGGATCTTTGTGAATATTTTACAGTTTATTTCAACTCGATAAACACTTATCACACATAATGCCACGATGTTCTTTTTTGTAGGAACTTGTTTATGTGGTAACCAGCCTGTGGGTGGAACCCTCTTAAATTTGTATCACTCACTCTGTCAGTAGGACTGTTGACTGTGGTGACGTAAATCAGCTGTTTTTTTTTTTTTTTTTTACATAAAAACGTTACCCAACATTCAGTAAAACTTTTCTTGTTCTTCCGAAGAAAATGTTTCCATTGGCCTCATGTCAATAAAAAATATTGTCAGACATTTATGTTTGATTGAATAAATGTTTACTTTGTTTTTTACATGCTTACAACACCCACACAAAGTGTGTTATAATTTGGTGTGAGTTTTGGGGGAGGAATTTGTTGTTTGAAGTGCTTGTTGCTTTGTGTGTATGTTGTGATGTGCATCGAATAGGCCTAGTTTTTTTCTGCTTTGAAAATATTTTCAGGTTATTGTGGACAGAGGGTCAACTTCTCTTAAAACCTGTTGAAAGTTGATGGGTTTGAATGGAAATATGTTAAGACTTTATAAAATGTTTACATATTGGCTTAGGAATCTGTATGATGAGAGGGTTAGTGGGTGTTCATTAATTTCTATCCAGACAGTGATTTAAGTATACCATTGTCCTAAGTAGTCTAAGAAACGTCCCCTATAAGTTCTGTAACCTCGTTCAATTGAACCGGGATCCTCACACTGGTTGCTGCTTAAAAAAACCGATTAATGACTGCAGCCAGCCTTACATCGTGCAAAAATGTTGATGCCCACGTAATATACCTCCACTTCTTGAGTAAATGTTAAAACTCATCTCCATTCACGAACAAGATTTTTCTGCAACGTTGGCCTAGGTACTAGAGCTGTATACTTGGTATTTTCACTTACTTGGTCATACTTGGTATTTGATTTACTTATAACTGCAATTTTCACATTTACTTCTCAAGCTTTGTGTGTGTGTATATTAATGGAATATTTAGAAAAAATTAACTCTTGATTGACAGTTGATAACCTCTATGCAGCTATCAACCCTTCTTTTCTATCTAATACATGTTACATCTGCTGTTCATTTTTAGACATGGAAATACCTATTTCTTTTCAGATGAATGTACAAACTTTTGATTAAGCCTTCTTAAGATATACATGATTATGAAACATTTCTTCATGCAATGTATGGTTCCCCTAAGGACCATACACACTCCCCATGGTTTAAATATTTTGGATGTTTTATAGGTTTTTCATAGTGACCTAGGACATTAAATATTTCTGTTAATACGTGGGTACGGTTTTATTTGTAGTACCGGTATTCTAAACTCAAAATCATCTAAAATATTCAAATATTGTTCTTACTTAAAAGCTATTTTCTCTCCCATTGATCTATGATTTTAAGTTCCAAAATGTAATGAAATATGTAGCATAACCACATGAGATGTATGTTCTAATTATTTTCTAAGATATTATGTGAATGGATGGATTTAGACTTTTATAAATTTGAATTTAAAAAAAGTGTTTTGTGGTCTTGTCAATGTTCCTCACAGTGAAGATGTAGTTTTGGCTTCAATGTGAGCTTTGCTGAGAGCAACTCTTTGTATTTCATGTTGTTCACAACAATGTCATGTACTTATTGATTGGTTAATGCGCCAGCCGACAGCTCAGTCTGAAAGCTTCAAATTATTGACCATAAATTAATTTTGCTTGTTGTAAATTGTTCTGTTTGAAGGATTAACTTACTTAGTGTCTGCAGGATATAAATATTAAATATTGCCAATAACATTCAGTGTACACTGAAAAACAGACATCATGCTGAACCTAAATACAAATAACAGTAACATAACCATTTATATTGAAAAAAATAAGGGAGATTAGACTTTTCCCCTAAACCTTGCAATATTATTGGTTTAATCGCCTAGCATTGTTCAGTATTGCATTGGGCTTTGTAGTATTAGGAGGGTTAATACGGAATTTTTATTAGAAAATATTTATATAAAAGCTCAGTGTTGGTTTAAGATATCTGGCCACATTAGCTGTGTTTCATCTACTGTATGTTTATAATCAAATCTCTAAACATTTATATTAGTATGAAATTTTGCACGTTCAAAAACAGCTAATGTAGTTAGCAGTATGGCAACACTTTGGTAGTAATGAATTACTAGTGTACATGTTGCTCAAATTCGAGCAACTGTGAAGTATTACAGGCAAACAAATAACAGTTATAATTTTCGATTGCTTTAAAAGAGTCAAATCAAAGATTATGGAAATACTCACGATGTACATAACATTCTTGTAAATATCTTATCATTTTTCAAAAGCTGATCTGGTTTTTTAGTGTTTTCTACAAATGTTTCCCACATAGTCACATTAGATTGTTCATAATAAATAACAATTATAAATTCTAAAAAAAAAACAAAAAACACCATTAATTCTAATTCTTTTACTTGGTGGGGTTCTATGACTTTCCTATGTTTCCGTAGTTTACAAATCGGCTCTTTCAATGATTGCTAAAGAAATGCAGCACAGTGTTAATTCAGTATTCTTTTTAGTATATAAAATTATCCAGGCTTTCTCGCTTTTTTCCATTGTAATATTTAAATCAAATTGTTAATATTTAACTTTAACCAAGTCAGTAAATGTTTGTAGCATATTGTAAAATATTACCGGCAATTAAATTATCCAGCTGATCATAGTGTAAAACAAATATGTTCTTCATAAGGAAAACATGGGAACTTTAACACGTTCGCTGCTGACCGCTAGATGCCGGGACGGCGCCAGGAGCTGAACTAACGCTCGCCGCTGCGTAACTTTGCCGCCGATACACTGAATTACAGTAAAAACAATAATAGTTATACTGGAGGGCAATGTTCTGCAATAAAACTGGCTTTGGACATAGTACTAAGTGATTCTGATAGATAGCAGCACTACCTAGGTTGCAGTCGGTAAAGTAGTGTCGCTATCTAGCAGAAAAGAGGTGGGACAAAGCCCTGTTCTATCGACCCTAGTGGTGATTTTGGGAAACTATATTTTTTATTGTCAGAAAAGTACGTCCCCATGAGCTGAAAGAAAATATAAGACGCTCGTGACGAGCTGGCTGATCCATGGAAACGTTAAACAACAATGAACGGTGACGTTCCGGAACGTTCCTAGCTCCTGGCACCGTGGCACGGCTGACGTTCCGGAACGTCCGTAGCAGCGAACGTGTTAAAAGCCATTGGGGCAGAACCCAATGGACTTTTTCAAAAATGTAAGCTCAGTTTGCAAATCTATACACTAAAAAGAACATTTTGGTATATAATATGTGGGGTTCAATCTTAAAACAGAAAAGCCTTATTGTTTACAAAGTTTCATGTAGCATAATGATAATGTAGAAGATACCAGAACACCACTACTGGGAGTTTAATCATTTACATTTTGCTTGCAGGAGAGTGGAGCTCCAGTTCTTACAGATGATGTCAGTCTGCAAGTATTTATGGAGCATCTGAAGAAACTTGCTGTCTCATCCACTGCATAGAATCTGCATCTGAATCTGTTTTGGATGGACTCTATTCATGTTTATGTGTTTGTTAAACAAGGTATATTTAATTGAAGAAAAATATATATAATTATACTACTTCAGGAGTTTGTTTATGTATACCTACTTAACCGTGTTAAGAACACCAATATTAGATGATTGTAACTAATCAAACTAAGTTGTCTGTTACAAACCTCACAATTCCTAAGTGTAAAAATATTCCAGTGATTTGAAATTGAAATTCTTATTGCATTGGCAGAGTAATATCGTAAATTGCTTACTTCTTTCGACATTTCTTCATTGCCAAATGACTGTTTGTTTGCAAAGTAAAACAAGATGGCAGCAAGCCTGGGAGCGAATTTATAAATACTGTATAGCAAATATAAAATTTTCATTATGTTATTTAGTTTGGTCAAAAAGTGATCAAATAAGTTGAAAATATAGTTGACTAGCTGTAACCCGCGGGCTTTGCCCCGTTTAACTTCTTAATTTTCAAGATTATCTCGTTCACATGGCTCAATCACGTCCTGGTTGAAGTTTGTTCGCTACGCTCACTCATCTTAAGGTTGGAGCTCGTTCGCTACGCTCACTCACCTTTAGGTTGGAGCTCGTTCGCTACGCTCACTTGCCTTCAGGTTAGCTCGTTCGCTACGCTAACTCGCCTCCAGGTTGAAGTTCGTTCGCGTTTGTAGTCAACAAGTCGATTATTTTGACTAGGGAATAGTTCAATAGGCATTGAATACGGTACTCAATTAACTAACAGCACTAAGAGCACATCTCGTTGCTTTAGCTAAGAATAATAAGATAATAGAAGATCCAACTGTGTGAACATGGCTTGATTTTAAGTAGCCTACAACCAGATAAATTACAACTAGAACCAACTGTGTAAACGGCTTGATTTTAAGACTCCTAGTAACCTACAACTGGATAAATTAAATCATATCACTGCTGGTTACCTTTTGAATCGAGTGGGGAAAGTCTACAGTTGCCAACAAATCCCCATCTAATGAGCCCTGATTTGGTCAAAAACCGAGGATTAAACATCTGCAAGTGGTCAGTTGAAAGTGCTATTTCCATGTGCCTGTGCAGAAGAGGCGAAAAATGGACAGGAAAGCTGTGGTTGGATACAGAGAGGAGAGCATGTTGTAGTTTCTCATGACAACGTTTTTCATGAAATAATTGGAGATTGTGACACTAAAGTTGAGTGTGGCCCTTCAAGATTGAAAAAAAATTAATGACATCAAAGAAGATTGGCAAGAAGTTAAAGATACAATTGGCGAGCCTAGTTCTCCAGTGAAGGGTAATGATAAACTTCCTTGAACTTAAGATTCAGATAAATTAAGTAGCAATGACAGTGAAGATGCAGAGCTGTCCAACGATCCTGCAACCTGGCACTCGACTCGGGAAAGAAGGCAACCCGAATGGCTGAAGGATTATGTCTCGTCAAACTTTGCCGAAGTTCTTCTTGTTGACAATGAACCGAAGTCTTACACTGAAGCCATCAGTTCAGGTGATAGAGTGAAAATTTTGAAACGTACGTTTTTATGTCCCTTGCCTTTTACTTCGTAGATACTGAATATGTAGTTAATCATTATGTGTTTTAATATTTTTTGGGACGGGGCAACATGTTACACACAATTATTTGGCTTTAAATATGTTCTAGGTATTTTTTTTGTATTTTTTAAGTCTCGAAACTCACAACCGTCACGTGTCCCTACCCATTTTGCAACTTTCATGCTGTTTTTAGAATAATTATTCATGCCAAAATATATATTTTTATTACATCAATAGCTATTGAACTTATGAAAAAGGATCATATGATAATTTTGTTTTCATTGCAAACTGACTACCATGACTATACAGGTCTGTCCCTCAATTTGACATCACGACCATTAGGGAACAAATTTGTAACTTTGGAGCACGACAGTGGCAAGCCTGGCGTCGATGGAGTCAGTTGGTTTTAGAGACTAGTTTGGGGTGTACGTCAGGATTGTAGTGCCGTTCGTTTCGAGTTGAAAGGAGGAATTACAAGATTAATAAAGGCAAGTTTGTGTTTTTTGTAATTTTGGTGTGTCCCTGACCGTACGTAGTCATTTTATGAAGTATACATGGTGTTAATTTTTGTTTATAAGATATTTCAATTGCTAGATTAACCTAGAAGTCCACTTTGTATCCTCAAACATGAGGTGCAGGGCTATTGCCAGAACAGAGCCAAATAACACGTAATGTCACGACCAAAGTTTCACGACCATCATGGGTTTTTTTCCTGGCCAATCCAGCCTTATGGATTATACTGTGTTTGGTCGTGAAAATAACTTAAATATCATTGTAAATTGAACAGTTTAGTTCAATTGAAACACATATATTTATTATAACTAACAGTATAATTAAAGGATTGTTTAGAAAGATTTAGATTATTCTAGACAATTCACGATCGTACCGCTTGTCCCTGACCATCACGTATATGATCCATATAAAGTCCAAAGTACCCATGAACTTTTGGGAAAACTACAAGTCACACCCCCACGAACCATATACTTAAAATGTTATTGAATGACGAGAAACCTTGCGCAAAACTATCCAGTATTCCATAAATTGCCCGATAAGGTCGTAATTGCTTTCCAAAAGGAACTTTCCATATACCTAATGTTAAAAATACCTCAGCTGTACTTATTTGTATGTTATTCTTCCAATTTTTCACCTTATTAAAAACAGATGTGATTATTTGTTTGTATTAATGTATTCTGTTTTGTTTATTTCAGCTTAAATTTACCAATCAATAGTTTTATTAATACTTATGGAGTCAAACGGGGTGAAGCCCATGGGCAACACAGCTAGTTTCTATCATATAAATTTCAAAAATTAAAATATCATCATATTTCAATGTTTTATACACAAAAGAAGCACACCTCTATAAAAACATAAAGATTTTTTGGGTCTCATGTAAGTTTTTTCGGAGTTATACAAACTTAAAAAGATTTTATTGGCTTTTTTCAATTTCTTACCTATTCAGTTTTATGGTCGTGACAAAATTTGGGTTTTTCCATCAAAGATGCTCTATTAATAAAAAATCACCAAAGATATTGCGTTACCATGGACATTTTATGAAACTTCAAAGGTTATAATTAAATAAAAAAAGTTTCAAAAAACAAAACAAAACAATTTTAAGTGCTTTTCCTGAAAACGTACGTTTCAAAATTTTCACTCGATATCACCATTGAGTGACTATTGGATAGATACTGAAGTAGACATCCCGTCTATATGGACCAGCTTTGGCCAATTTTTTGTTAAAAAAGAACGTAGTTATATATGCCAGTCACAGAATGGGCTGGTGACTAAAAACTCGATTTTCTACCTTATTTTTTGTTGCTGGCCAAGTTGCTCGGTCATAACAGTTGCTATAGCTCACAATAAGTCTAAGTCATTCCGTTAGTTTGAATTAAGATTGTGTATTCGAAAGAAACTAATGATTTAGATCAGCGCAATCTGTCGGTGGCTAACATCGACATCAACTACGACGATTTTGGTAAAAAAAAACTGGCTACCGGTACAAATTTAATATGGGGAAGGAATGTCTAGTTGTATATTAATAGTCAAAGATATCGCTGAATGTAAAACATCAATGGATAAAGAATTGTCATCAAAACATACTCACGGCCGGTGCATGGGAATTGACCAAACTCCCTCCTACTTTTTACTTTGCCTATACCTCGACCAAGACTTAAAGTCCTGGGAGAAAATCTTGGAATCTCAGCCTCTCGGGTCGGGATGACTACCCATGTAGCACAGATGTTTGGGCCAACGTTGGCCAACTGTGGGACAGTTGGTCGATGGTTGGTTGGAGCTTCCACAACCAACCAACCGTTGTCCAACTGTATATCTCGTCGTTAGGCCAACCAATATTTACAACTGTGGACCAACATTGGTTCATTGTTAATGAAATACAATATGCATTGCTGGGTATCATACATCAAGCCAACCGTTTTTCACTCCGTTGGACCAACAAAAGATACTTTTGTTGGACCAAAGATGGTCCATAGTTGAGTTTACACGACTTTCATTCTCTTGATCTAGCTTTCACAACATAATTATAATGGGAATGTTGCTGGAAGTCAACAGTCCCGGAAGATCAAATAATTTATACCTGTGCCGCTAGGTCAAAAACTACAATGTTTGCAGTGTCTGTAGATCAAAAGTCCCAGTAAGTCAAATAATACAGTCCGAGCTAAAAACATGGTCTATGTTAAAGCAATTGACTTATTGGGAATTTGACCTAATGCAACAGCAGTTTTAATATAACGAAATACGGTAAAATACAAGTTCAGTTTCGCTGAGTCAACAGTGCCGGAAGATCAAAAGCAATAAAAGTGAACGTCGATTCAGTGTAAAGTAGACCTCCTGCAACGCTTACTACACCAACAAAACTCGCTTTTAGTTACTTTTACTTACTTTTAGTTACAACACTGTAAATAGGTATAGCCTTTCGTCAAAATTTGTGGCATAAAATACCCGCAAGGACGATCTGAAAATTTCTGGTTATTATATACGTTTGTAAAAGGAGATCCATTTAATTGTAGAACTATTTTATGAGTTATAATGTAGTCTACATATAAACTGTGTAAATGTATTACGTCTCGGAAGGGTTGAAACCTGTCCAAACTATCATATATACTATTAAAACGTAAATGGGGTTTTTCACGAATCTGAATCAATGGATTTTCATTAGTTTTGTGTTGAAAGAAAGACAATTTTGAGAACTAGGGAATTTCAAAGCCATAATTTAAAATTAGTGTCCCAGTTTTTTATAAATTAAGTTTTAGTTTTTAAAAAGTCTAGCAGCCGATGCTAACCTTCTCCAATAAGTCAATGCTTCTAGCTAGCTTTTAGTACAATATAATTTGCTTAACATAACAGCTGTAACATTCAGCATTTCTGACACAAATTCAGGATTTGGAAGAAAATTCAAATACATACTTATGGTTGGCTTATTTATACTATGTGTAATGCTGACCATTGATACATTTAATTCTTCGGTACGAGGATGGCAGATTAATTAAATATGCATAGTAAAATACAGTAGTAGGATGTTCAAATTATTTTTTAA